TCACTGACCTCCCTGTGCTCTCTCTCTGCCTTCCAGTCAATAACGAGTCACATTCAACTTACGACCAATTCCACAGCAAACCCATGATCTTTAATTTCGTTAAAACCATTCTCGTTCTACTGTGGCAAAGCAGAGCCCGTGAATCACAATTAGTGAGAGCAAAGGGCCAGAGAAGAGAGAATTAATTTCTCTTTGCTGTTCAAAGGCTGTGCTGCCCTGGCTCAGGGGAGGATCTGTGCCCTTTAGACAAAAGGCTGAGGAGTGTCACCTGTTAATCTTCTCTGTGTGCAGCCCTTTGCAGCATGAGGTGGTCCTGCTGCAGCCCCTGTCCCCAGGGCCCTGCTGGCTGTGACAGCTGCTATTTGCAAGTCAGCTGAAAAATGCTCCCTCTGTATTCCTCTGGCTATTTTTAGCATTTCTCTTTAGATTGCAAAGACATCTCGTATCGGTGATAACCAGGTCATAGTGATTTCTGCCCTTAAGGGAGAGGCATGTTTGGCAATGGGAGGGGAAGGGCTTTCCAGGATTGCTCCAGTGTGTGTGAAACACATCTGCTGGCTGTCACCCACAGTGGAGCCAGCACTGTCACCTGTGGCAGATCCCTTCAGGAGCATGTCTCTTTGCCAGCACATCCAGCGTGTGGTGATGCAGCTGGAGAGCTGGTTGCTGAATCAAGGGCAGGTCAGAACAGCTCAGTTTCATCAGAGGTCAGGCAAGAAAAGTCTGCTGGGCGTGTGGCAGCGTGGTAGGGGAGGGCTGTTAGAAGCACCAGGGCTGTGTTTAAAGAGCTGAAAGATGTCACAGTGGTCCCTGGAGCTCTTTTCCTCCCTGCTTTAGCTTCAGGAAAAGCAAGTGAGTGAATGGGGAAGGTCTCTCCCACCAATCTCACCATACACATCCCCCTCACCTCAGCATCCCAGCTTCTCTCTGAGCACTTGACAGACAGAGCTCACCGAGCTGGATTTGAGCATCCTAAATTTAGTTGATGCAGCGAAATGGTTCCTGCTGATTTTAATTCACATTCGTACTAAATTTTATTTTCCTCTTCCCTCTCCTCTCAGGGGAGAAGCAATGGCTTTCTTGGAGGTAGCTTATGAGTTTTCCAGACAGAAATTGTTTCCACTCCAGGGTTACTGGCAATACCCAAATATATGTCCAGGAATTGGTCAAAGCCAAGGAGCCTGATTTAGAGCTGCCGCTTCTAATGTCTCATAAAGCAGCACTCCAAAAGGTCAGCCTCTGTGCAATGAAGCAGCCAGTCCCACTAGCTAATGGCATAATCTATTAAAGAATTAATTCAATACGTTTTCCCAGTCAAATATAACAACAGCAGGGAACATTAACTGTCTAACCTAATACTGAGTTTCAAATAGTGCTAGTAAACCTATTAACTAGGGCTGTTATCCAGACTGATGGAGTCTTGACCTTGGCCTGTGTTTCTAAATGGGCTTTGCCATTCCTCTTGGGATCAGCCTTAGAGTTACAAACCAGCAGCAGCTTCATTCAAGCACAAGGGCTCAGCTCCTTGTGAGGGTCTGTGCTTGTGGGCCAGCCCTGGTGTCCCTGCAGCAGGGTCCTGCCCTGGCTGTAGTGTGCTCTGAGGAGTGTTCATCATTCTGAGGTCATCCACAGCCCTCTGACTCCTGAATCTGTGTGGAGGTAACAGCAACCTTTGCTTTGCTGGAAACACTTCCAGTTGCTGTTGGTTCACCTTTAGCCCAACAGCTCTTGTTCCTGTCCTTTTTAGCATTTTCCTTTGTGCTCTCCTGCTGTTTTCCTCTATATCACTGATGAAGGCTGCAGCATAGGCTGCTCTCTTAGCCGGTGCTTTGAGTTTCTCCTGAGCTGCCCAGCTGCTGACAGAGCCTTTGCTGACAGCATTCACAGCATCACAGAATGGCCTTAAATATCACCTAGTGCCAGCCCTGCTGCCGTGGGCAGGGACACCTTCCACCAGACCAGAGGAGGGGTGAGCTGGTGTGTGAGAGCACGGGTGGCTTCTCCCCACACATGTATAAAGTGCAGACAAATACTTGGCATTGGCCTTTGATGTGATTTTCCCCCCCAGCAGGTAAAAAGTGGTTTTCTGTGACTGATTGAATGAATTATTTTGAGGATCCAGGGGCCAGAAGGGTTTTTCTTTTTTGTTGTCCTGCAGCATGCCAAGTCTCTGTGGGTGGTCTTCTCCCAGCTTTGTGTCCCCACTGCAGTAGCGTGGCTGGAGTTCATCCCAGAGAAAAATGGCTCTGAGATCTGGTTCTGGGTGTGCTGTGCACTCTCATAGCCCTCAGCTTCACTCAATCTTAGGCCTCCCCTCCTCTCTCCTGGTCCTCAGCATCTTGTTAATTAGCCCGAGCATCTGTTCTGAGCACAGCAGTGAACATTTCCCTGAACAGTTGGGAGTTGTCTTGCCAGCCTGTTATTTACGTGCTTGTTCAGGTCACACACTCCCCAGGGCAGGAGCGAGACCCTGGCCCATTTATCTTCTATGAGCTGAGAAAAATAAAGAAAACATTTACCTTCTGGCTGATGGTCCATTCATCTCCTGCTGAATCTTATGTCTTTCTCTGTCAGGTCTCCTTTCTCTTGAACTATTTTGAGTTCTCTAAGCACTAGTTTTCATCCTTTTTTGACTCTGTGTGCAGCTCCAAACGCCTGAGCCAGCAGGCTTACTGAGTGTTGCTGGTCCTCGTGTGCACCAGGACTCTCTTCTTCCCTCCTTGTATGGGCAAATCATGAGCCTGATAAAGCCTGTCTGGCTCCAGGCTCCCTCTTCCCCTGCCTCCCCCATCCCATGTCCCTGCAGATTTACCAGCCCTGAGGACGTCTCTCTCTCTGTGCACAGTTTATCCTCAGAGCCTGGCCACAAATCCAGCTCCTGTGCCTGGGGTGCTGCTCCCCAGAGAGGGCTCCCTCAGCAGGGCCAGCAGATGCCAGGTGGGTGGTGGGGCAGGAGTCCCCTACCCAGAGGGAGCAGAGCGTGGCCCTGTGCCACCCCTGCTCCCGGGACAGATCTTGGCACTGGGGATGCACCTTGTGCCACTGAGGACTTGGTGACACTGAAAGACAAGAAAAATGTTAAGCCTTCTCTGCAATTAACGCCAACAATAAATCCTGCTGTTCCTGTTGTATCTCAAAATATCACCCTGAGTGTTTATGCAATAAACAGTGAAGGTGGGGTAAAAAAACACTGAATGGGGGAAAATCCACCTGTGGAGAGCCCCTCGCTTCCAAGCCTGTCTCCCAGGATGCTGAGACACCTTCCTCCCTTTTCACAGACATGACATTCATTCGTACAGAGCTCAAGGGCAGGGTTTTCCATGCTGATGGCTCAGCAGCTCCCTGTGTAGCAGCAGTAACCAGGTTTCTCAAAGAGCCAGGTCAGCACAGAGGGAGGTGCAATGCTCCGTGGAAGAGTCGGGTCATTTAATGCAGTGTCCCTGTCACGGGGGGCTGAGCCACCCAGTGAACCTGTCATGAGGACACGAGCTGGGGACACATTCTCTTCAGCCCATGCATGGCGAGATGCTGAGGTGTGTGTGCTGCCTTTCTAATTCCTTGTCAGAATAAATAAATATTCCCGTGGGGCTGAGACCGGGTCTGAAAATAGCTAATGAGAGCTGAAATCCTAACCTGAAATTAATGTTCTGCTGGCTGAGTGGGGTTTAAAAAGAATTTCTTTTTTTTCTTTTTAATGTCTTTTAAAATGTAACTGGCTTGCAGGGGGGCATCAGTGAGTCTTTGTGGCTGAGTCAGCTGTGTGAGAGCCTGTGGTCCCCAGCCCGCCCCGCAGGCAGGGCTCCGATCTGCCATCACTTGTACCCAGTGTGCAGCCTCCTCACAGCATCCTGAGAAACAAATTTGGGGAAGCAGGGAGCTGCATCATTACGTGGGTAATTGCCCCCCTCCAAGGGCGTTTGGAAAAGTGGAGGAGGTTTGTAATTGTGCCTGGCTTTGGCACGCAGCAGCTTCCCCGGAGGCAGAGTGCAACACCCGGCGCGGCAGCGTGGGTACCCCGGCACAGAGCTCCTGACGGGCGTCTCAGCAGCTGTGTCATGGGCTGGCAGATGCCTGCAGGACAAATGTAGGTGTCAAATGCTGGCCTCGAGCCTCCTCCTTACCATTCGCAGCAAGTTTTTCTACAACCTCGAAAACAGCTGCGTAAATCAGGGTGCAACTGAGTAAATCTTGGTTGGTATCAGGGTGCCTCAGCGTCTGACGCTTTTGTGTTGCTTCACACGTGTCCAGTGCAGTGACCAGCACCTGTAGCCACGCCATGGACCAGCCTCAGTACCTGATTTGGAGGCTCTGTCCTCCCAACAGCTTTTGTTTCACTGCAGTGACTGCGGCAGAGGCGTTGCTGGGGTTTGAGGACATTGCCCCTTTAGCCCTGGACAGTGTTCAGGTCCTTTTTGTGATTAGTTGTGGAAGCAGGTATGAACACCATAGAGGGGATGGGGTGGACGCTTCTGGTGTTGAGCAGTAGGAAATGGGACCCTCTGGTCGAAAAGGAGGTGTATTGCTCTCTGTGTATGTGATAAGTAAATGGGGAATTGAGTCCCGAGGGGATTGATGCTCACCCCCCTCATCTCACTTTTAACCACTGCTCTAGATGCATTATTTCCTCTCCAGAAATGAGGATTGGGAAGAGTCAATCAGGGATCAAGAGGATCCCATAAGCTACTCTAAGAATCTACTGCCTGGAAGAGGTGACAGGCTGTATATGAGCCTGAGATGGCAGGGATTTTACAATGAGTTATAGTTAAACAAACATTAACCAGTTGGTGACTACAGACACTATTGTGGGTTTTTTTGTGCAAGGAAATAGATTTTGAATGGATTCCATGAAACTAAACTGTGTGGAAATCAATGAGTTTTGCAAGAGAAGAAGGTTTCTCTCGATGTCATTCATTGCAAAGGTGTATCAAATCTGGTTCTTTAATTAATGGGTTGCTTTAAAACGCAAATTAACCACTTGCCAAAATAATTTTCTTTTGCAGCTTGAATTTCAGTGGAGTCCATCTGGCATCTGCTGGGCAGTTCAGTGACTTCCTGGGGAGCATGGGCCCTGCACAGTTTGTTGGGCGTCAGACCTTGGCCACCACCTCGATGGGTAAGGAACTCAAAGGTGTTGGGTGGCTTTAATTTAGTTTTGAACTGCTCCTACAGGCCACTAATAACGTGTCCAGCGTCTGCTGATCTACCACTGTCCTGCTCCATTTCTCTGTTAAATCAAGTGTGCTTGGCTGAAAGGTTTTGCTGACTGGAGCAAATGTGGCATTAGCAGGAGAGCAGCAGCTTTGTGCTTTCCTCCCTCAGCTCTGAAAGGCACAGACTGAGTAAAACACAGCTAAAGTCCTGAAAATGCATCCTGTGCATCTTGGGGTTTTTCTTTCTCTCTAAGGCCCACTGTGCTCTGTAAGGATTTTGTTATGGTCCACCATAATTGCATTTTTCAAAGCAGCCTGCAATCCTAGGTGCTTTTGTTTGGGAGAGGTGAGAGTTTGTTGCCACAAAGAGTAGGAGACTGAGCCCCCAAAGCCATATTAGAGGCCTGGAAGTCGAGTTTGCTTTTGAAAATGTGGGCTGGAATCACTGTAGAGCTGCTCCAGAGTAACACAGGAGGAGATCAGGCACATACAGTTTGTTGCAGCTTGTAGCAGGCAGGACGTGAGGGTTGTTTTTAAACATTTTAATAGCCCAGGGATATATTGTTTTGAAAGCCTTCTGTTTATTTTGACATTTTGGTTTAGGGGACGTGGAAATTGGCTTGCAAGAGCGAAATGGGCAGCTAGAAGTGGATATCATTCAGGCTCGAGGACTGACACCAAAACCCGGCTCCAAAACACTGCCAGGTAGTATGCTTTGATCTCCTAAAGTAATTCCCTGAGCCCCAGCCTCCCGTGATGCTTGCGAATAGGAGAAATTTTAATTTCACTGGGCTTCAGCAGGACTAAGCAATCTGTGTGCAGCATTGAAAAAAAAGGCTGCTTGGGCAAATCTTTTCCCTGCTGTAAATGCCTTCTTCAGAAATACCTGAGACGTGGCACTCTGTCTTTTCTAAAGTGAGCATGAAGATTTGTTTTCACATTTGACCATGTTTGTTTTTTCCAGCTGCTTACATCAAAGCTTACCTGCTGGAGAATGGCGTGTGCATCGCGAAAAAGAAGACAAAAGTGGCTCGCAAATCATTAGACCCTTTGTACAATCAGGTGTTACTGTTTGCTGAGAGCCCCCAGGGCAAAGTATTACAGGTAAGATGAGCAAATCTCAAGGCTGCCCATCTCTCTCTTCCACCTCTTAGGGAAGATAATAAGTCTGGCAAGGGACCTGGATAATTAACAGGGATGAGAAAAAGCCAATGTTTTCGTTGAACCAAATGCACTCCATCTGAACGTAGCAAATGGAAAGGAAACCCTTTTTTTTCACACTCAAACTGATGATTATTTCATCCTCTGCCAATTACCATGAATACCTACCAAGAAGAGGTTGATTTTTATTTTTTTAATTCTTTTTTCTCCCCACCCAGTTAGTAGATAGGTGGTACCTATAGCTGCTAAACAATCTGCAGCATTGGTTATCTTCTGTGTTTATACACATTCAGAATGCTCTGCTTTGGCCATCACCCAGTCACATATCCTGCCCTTTTCTACCTCTTTTCTGTTACTGCCGTACATTTTCTATCATATTCATATTTTCACCTCTGTTTCCAGAGCAAAGAATGATTTGCATTGTTGATTCATATAAAATCCATTTGTAATACTTAATGTAATTCATCCATGAGTTTCTATTGTTTACCTCAACTGGCATATGAATTGCCACATAACCTTCTGGACCCTTCTCATTAGTGACCTCTTCCTCATCTACCTTGATTAGAAGCATTTTCCCCTGATGCAGCGAGACTGCACATTTTTGACTGAACTGGGGTGGAACCTGGCTTGGTCTGCTCTTGCCTTGCGTGGGTTTCCTTACCTGCTGCCTTGCTGCCAGGAAAGGCAGTAAAATGAGAACACAAGAGAATAAAATGAGGAGCTTGGCTCTCTGCTGATTGCCTTGTCACCAAACCAACTTTGTGCAGTGGCTTGCTCCATCTCCTGCTGACCTAGAGTGTGAATTTTTGTCTTTTACTTGACATTCGTTGTCTCTCCTACCTCGTTTTACAGAAATTTGTAATGTGGTGGGAAGGAAGTTGTGAGGATTAGCCAGAGATCACTAGTCATTGTCATAACCCACCCTACTCATCCTCTCCTCTTCAGAACACGGACTCGCTCTGGAGTCAGTCGTCTCCTTTGTCTGGAGCCACGTAGGGCCCCTTGCCCACGTGCAGACCTCCAGCATGCCTAATTCCATGACCCTCACTGCATCTGTTGTTCCACCCACTGGTCTCCATCATGTCGTGAGTGTGATTCAGCCTTCCCTGCTCGCCTGGCAGCTCTGTCATTAGCCCTTCCTCTGCGTCTGCGAGCCGATCTCGGCCGTCTGTTCTGCTTCCCCTCGTGCCACCCCACGTGTCCCCTGTGTCACTGGGCTCCTGCCCTTCCTCCAGGTGAGTGGCTGTGCCTCGTCTACATCTGCCCTGTGCCACAAGCTCCAAGTGCAGAAGTTAAAACACGCTCTTTTCCTCAGACTGTTGGCTTTTGACCCAAGCTGTTGCCCACCTTTTTTTTGTTGGTTTATTTTCCCACATAAGGAGCTCTCCTGCCCTTTCCCCCCAGGCCACCTTTTGGTGTGTGCAAGGCCTGTCATGTGCCAGGAACAGGTTTTACCTGTGGGTATTGGACTGTAGCTCCAGGGATACTTCGTGCAGGTGCTGTCCCTGCCCAGCAGATCAAATGGCAGAATGGTGTCTTATCCACGTGCACATTTACCTCTTTTCCATGGGGGAATACATATCTGATAACATTAGAATTTGTAAACACGTGCTTAAAAAAATCAGTAATATCATCAGCCAGAGGTTCACGTTACCTGTTGGTATAGTAAATTTTTCTGGTCTTCTTGGGCTGTAGTAAAGCTCCAAGAAGTTGGATGAGTAGAAAGGATTGGTCAGACTTGTGCTTCCCAAGCAAGTGTGCAAGTTGAAGGATTAACTGTGCTCCCCCTTCTTGTTCCTAAGGTGATAGTCTGGGGAAACTATGGGCGCATGGAGCGCAAGCACTTCATGGGAGTCGCCAGGGTCCTCCTGGAAGAACTGGATTTGTCAACTTTAGCAATCGGCTGGTACAAGCTCTTCCCGACTTCCTCCATGGTAGATCCCACTACAGGCCCGCTCCTGCGTCAGTCCTCACAGCTTTCCCTGGAGAGCACAGTGGGACCCTGCTGTGACAGGTCTTAGTGAGTAAGGAAGGGGGAACTGCTTTTGTTTTTTAAACATGCTGTCAAAGGTTTTGTTTGCTGGAACTCTGACCTCAAGCGCAATGCATGTTCAATCAGTTCTTGTGGAGCTGGAAGAGGAGGATAAACCAGTGACCTTAGACAGAAGACGAGGGGGAGGGCACTGTGCCCTCTCCGTCCGAGGAGGAGGTGCCGTGGGGCATGAGTCCTAGTTGTCAAATTAGACATACACCTCTTGTTTCACTTCTCTCACTGTCATTCTTGGACCCTTGTTTCAGATCAATATTAACCCTGAAAAGTTGCAGCGTTTGAAAGAATTTGAGGGGGAGTAAGGAAGGAATTTTTCTTAACTGTGCATATTAGAAATTTCTAATACGGATTCTTTCACGAGAAAGTACCCGAAAAATTCAGAGGTCAACATCTGGCCTGAAAAGAGCAGGAGCAGAAAGTTTAGGAGGAACCATTAGGGTTTTTATAAGGTCTTTCTTTTTGAAAAGAAGAAAAAGAAAGAAACCTGCAACTCTTTCCTTAGAATCAGTTCCCTGTCACTGAGTCATGTTAGCTGTAACACTGTCATAGCTGTGTTTTCAAACTGTGCCAAATTACCAGCAAGTGTCTTTACTGCATTACGTGTCTAACACTGCTGATGAAGCAAACTTGGTGGGAGAACAAGTAGCGCCTACTTAGACCAGACAGTTTAAACAGAGTTCGAGTTTAGCAGGATAATTAACTGCAGTTTTGCTCAGAAAAAAACCCACTGGAAGTGGGAGCTGAACACCAGAGTTGCAGCTTGACATGTTCTGTATTGTCAGATACAACGTTCTGCAGTTTACTGACCCCCTTACCCTGTTGCTGTGCATCCTTCAGTCATGATGTCTTCTATCTCCTGCTTTGCCTCCATCTCCCTTGTACTGGTACATATCTGCTGGAGATGCTGCCCTTCCTGTTGTGCTGTGGACTGACCTGAAACAGGACTGTTTTGTTCAGCCATGGGAGAGGAGATTGGGGTTTCTGGGGGTGCAGAATAAAGAAACCTCACTTTGTCATCTGACGAGAAGACGCTGGAGAGCACATAACCTTCCCTGTGGAGAGAGGGGAGCTTTAGGCAGTGTCAGTAGTACACAGACATTGTCAAGTGTCCTGCAAGAGGAGATGTGACCCCCGAAGTACAGAGAGGTAGCGAGTGAGGAATGTGACACACGGCGGTCACAGCGTGTATATTCTGTTCATTAAAGTGCAACACTAACTGTAAACAAGTCTTGTAGATCCAGTCAAGCACATTCTCAGAGCTGCTGAGCTGTGGCAGCTGTTGCCAGCAGAGCCACGTGCTGGAGGAAGTGCACTAGATCCTCCCAACAATGAAATTATCCAAAATCACAGAGAATCTCTGAAGGTTTTCTGTTGATAGCTCTGTTTTGGCTAGGTTTTGTCTTAGTTCCTAATGAGGATTTGATGACTGCTGTCCCAGAATAAATAAGCTTTTGGAGATGTTTTGCTTTGTGATTTAAAAGTGAAGGTCCCATGTCACGTGTAGGAATGAGCAGATTCTTGAGCTGTCATAGAGAAATACTGAGCATTTATTTCTGCATGTGGACCTCAGCTTTGTTAGAATAAAAGCATGAGTGTTGAGTGGATGGTAAAAGCAGTTGCTTTTGGTCCTAGCTTGTCTATGGCATTTTAAATTATTTTGAGGTAAATTACATGATAGATGCAAAAATTATAGGCCTTACAATAATCTATAAAAAATTATATAATATAAAGGAGAGGGAAGGAGGACAAGGGACATAGAATGTCTAGTTTTTTGAGTCTTCAGTGGCAAAAGCCTCAACATTTCAGATAAATCTCCTTATTTCCTTGATCAAATATGTCTCGGGCCTCTCACTAATTATTTTTTCTAATTGTATTAGACAATTTCTATATATTAGCTGAAGAAAGTTTGTTGCATGCTGGTCAAACTATGTTGTGGCGCTCTCTCTTATTTTTATTTTTTTAAAAAAAAGCACATTTACTTGTAATTCAAGTCAGCATCTTTTCCTCTTGGTATGTAGTGAGTACTAGGCAATATTGTACAATATGTGTATGAACTAGAATAGATAAGGTAGATTTAGTGGTTTGTAGCACCGGATCTTTTAATAACTATGACTTTAAAAGGACTGTGGGGAGCTCCAGGTACATGCCAGACCTGGCAGCTGAGTAACAGGGCTTCTGTCTTAAGTTATGCTGAAACCTTTGTATGGCTACTTAGTTTGGACATTATCTACCAGTAAGAGCTAAGTTAATCCTGGGTTTCCTGTGTCCAGGAAGATGAATGCAGCGTTTTTGCAGTCTTTAATAGGGAGTAGGAGACTATTCATGCCAAAAACATTCCCCCAGAAAACTTTGTTTAATGACTGTCTGTCAAAAAGCTCAGTTCCTGTTTCCCTGGCAGACACATGTCTCTGTATCCTGCCCCTCCAAAAGCTGTGCAGGCTCAGTGATGATCAGTTTAGTTACCATAGGACTCCATAGCACTGATCTTCCGTCTGGTTTTAATCACAGGAAAAGGTCACTGTCAGGGGAAAACACAGAAGTTACAGTTCTGGTTGTGTTATTTTTGTTAAGGTCTCCAGTTCTGTGATTTGGAGGCAGTTTAACAGTCTGCTCTGTCCTGTTTTCTTCTGCATTTGTTACGTGGTTGACTGTGGTCCAGTGGCTCTTGCTTTTGTTTTACTCACTTCCCAGTCCTGTTTCTCCCCAGTGAGTGAGCGTTGCCATCCCTGGCTGCCACACACAGCACAGCCACGTGAACTGGCAAGTGCAGGTGACCTTCCCTCTTAAAGCAGACTCACAGGAGCCCTCCTGAGTGTGCTCACGGGATACAGAGTGAGGCCAGGAGAGTTGCATAGTACCCCAAAGTCTAAATTCTTGCTTCACTCATACCTGTGATTCCTGCACTGACCATGGCGTATTGTAGTCAAAAAAAGAACTCTTCTAGTTATCCATCAATTTAAATACTCCCACTATAGCATCCAAGACAAGGCTTGGAATAGCTTATTTTTATAAAGCCTAATCCTCTTTTTTCCCAAAAATTTGCCTGGCCAGTTCTGTCTGAGGTGATGTGCTGTGACAGTTGGGATGACCAGCGTGGTCGTGTACAAAGCAGACATTTGCCAGAGTGATGAGCAACTGGAAACTCAACTTTGGTTCCCTTTGCAAGTCCTGGCTGACTGAGCCTTTTCCTGTGCCTGAGTCTTGCTGTTAGTTCTAGTCAGAGACAGGGGAGAGAGGAAGAGCAGGAGACTTAAATAAAAGAAAAAAAGGCTTTACAGTATTTTTTGGTCTGTGAGCGTGATGAGGGATGAGACTGAGGAGAGAGAAATGCCTGCCCAGCTCAGGGTTGTGCATGAACTACTATGTTGTAATGGTAATGGGAGGATTGCTGGCCAAAAAACCCATGGAGAGCCAATCCCTAAATGTTACCTGAATTACTATTCCCGTGGAAAACAAATCTTGATGCTGAGAGCAGAATAATCTCTCCCCAGTGGGAATCCCCAGCACACAGGGAGAGCAGCCTCACATCTGGCTTTGTCCTCTTTGTGCTCTGAGCAAAAATTTGCAGCCGTGACCATGGCTGGTCCTGGTTTGTTCAGGCCAAAAAAAAAAAAGAAAGGTATTTTCCCAGTCTCTTGGTGTTTTTTTCCCTTTGCCCCAACACAGCTGGGGTGGCACAGAGCCAGCACAAGGTCCTCAGTCTGCAGTTCAGTCCCTGGGTCCTCATCCTGCAGTCGGAGCCATGCGGGCACTTGTGTCCTTGGGCAGGGTAAGGGCCAGGTGACTTAATTGTTCAGTCGAGTGCATCCCCACTCCTTGGGCATGGATTGTTTCAAAGGACATTGCAGCGTTATTTGCTTTGAATGAAAATATATATTTATTGTTCCTAGCTACCAGATCCTTTATCAATGTACTGTTCTAAATTTGCAGGTCTTCTGGAGTATGAATATCACAAGTTCCTGTAAAGGAGCTGTTTTTAAGATGTTGAGGCAGTTAACAGAATCTCAACCTAAGCATGTTTAGTAATGTTTAGACAGCAAGACAACTTTTTTATGAAACTCATTTTAAGTTAGTTTATTACATGCTGTTGGTAATATTTTAAAACAGGAAGAATATTTTTCTTTAAAGACAAAATGATATGTATGTTTTTTAACAGGTAACATAATTTAGTGTTTTCAAAAATGTTTGATGTTCTTGGTATGAAGTTTACTCATTCTTTTGATTTCTATGTTCCTTGTTATATTTTATCAACTTTTTTCCAAAAGAAAAGAGGCATATGTAAATAAACACCAGAAAAGAGTCCTATAAGAAATTCTGTTCAAACTGGCCATAAAATTATTAGTAAGTATTTGTTATCATTCATTAACTCTCAGCTACTTTGTTGAAAGAATTGATGTTGTATTTTCAAGATGAGAACTACTTAGCTAGTTTTGTCATAATCCTGTACTCTGTATAAAAATCTTTTTATAAAGAAAGTCTAATAGGCTACCAAGCAATAATATATTCCATTTGGTGTGCACAGATTGTGACTTGCAGGCTGTAGTACATATTGTTGATACAGTTTATAATTGTCTTCAATCTCAACGACATCACTTTCGAAAAAGATCCATATTAACTTTGACTGTAAAAAACAAAGACTGGGCTGTTGCCTTGTGAGATATATTCATCCTATAGACTTCTCTGTGAGTGTCTGTGCCCATCGACATGAGATCTCTCTTAGGTGAGGAATGAAAGAGCTGTAGGTGACTTCATACTACAGAGGTAAAAAATAGTTTCAGTATAAACTTCATGACTGTTTCAATCTCCTGTTTTTTCTTAGGCTATCTAGTATTTGTAACTCGACGAGAATGGTTCCCACTGCCACCGTAGCCCTGATAAAGCAAAAAAGCCTTTGCACTCTGGGGCCACATCAGTTCTGCCTGACAGCTGCCTATTTTCCTCAAGATACCAGAGGCAAGCTAAAGGGAGGTTTTTTTCAGAGCAGCAGGTTGGGCTGCTCTTCTTTAAAGGCTTTGTGGGTTATTTTGTCCATTTCGTAGGTGGTATTTGTCCATTTTGTTAGAAAATTCCACCCAAGGCAGAGAGATTGCACCTTCGCAGAGGATCACGGGGGACTGAGGGGTAAAACAGGCACAGTTCTGTGCCATTCTCCACAAGTTTGCTAGTGCTGGGCTCACCTGAAGATTTTTCCAAAGTAGCAGGATCGAGATATTGGACTTTAAGTCAGCTCCATCATTGGTGCAGTGCATAGAATTAAACAGCCTCAGAACGGTGTCCCAGTTCATTGCCTGTGGATTCCTTGCAGCATTTCCCATAGGACAGGTCTCTGTGTTGTTCTCAAGACTGCCAGACTGCTGGCCGTGCAGGCAGCAAGTCCCAGTGGTGCTGGGAGCCTGGAGGAATGATGGAAGAATTCCTGGTTTTTGTGAAACGCTTTGAGGAGAGAGAGAGGTGTAAATGCAAAGCGCCGTCAGTAGAGGAGCCCAGGGCATATTGAAACCTGGAGGGAGCATCTGAAATGAAATTGCAGCTACCAAATTTGAGCCAAACATTTAGAAAAGGAGATGATCAGTGAGAGCCTTTTCGTGCTTACCCCAGTGCACACCAGCCAAGGTGTGTGTCTGAGAACAAGTTAATTCCCCAGGGAGTTTGCAAGTGATTAGGTGTTCTCAAAACGTGGCCGACGAGTTTTCCACTCACACTGCCAGGCCCCTCTGCTCAGTGGCCACATCCCCGTGACCAAGCAGCCACACGTCCAGCCCCAGCTGCTCACCCATGACAGCAGCATCCCAGTCATTCTTGGGGAACCTCAGGCTCTTCTCAAAGTGTAGACACCCTCTGCCCTCCCTCCCCCATGGTAGCTGCTCTTACTCTTGCAGAGGGGAGGAACCAGGGAGACTTTCTTGTAGCATTTGGTTCTTTGCACTTAAGAGGCTGTAACAGAAGGGCCCTGCACCAGCCCTTTCCAGAGCACCAGCAAACAGAGGTGACAACCCATCGACTTTCCCTTCCCAGTAGCTAAAACAGCACCCAAAGCTGTGTTGTTCAGCCCTGCTCAGCCAGGTCAGCAGACAGCCTTGGCATTTATGCTGGGCACCTCAGGTGGGCTCGAGACCCCTGTGCTGGGCAGGGAAGGGTTGTGTCTGGCAGAGAGGCCATGAGGGCACAGCTGTGAGCTCTGCTCCCTGAGCGGGATGGGGGCAGAAGCAACCCGAGGGAAGGATCCAGGATGCTGAAGCCATCCCACAGGCTTTCCAGGAGTTGGTTTTTGTAGTTGTTTGGGCACCACACATTGGGATAGGTGCTCCAGGTCCCACTAACAGCTAGCCTGGAGCTTGAAATCCCGCAGCAGTGTTTCCTTTGTGGCTGCTGCTCCTTACCCAGTGCTGCACACTGGTCTCTGCTTTGGTGATTCCGTCTCCTCGACCTGGAGCTGCTTTTGGCTTTGGAGCAAAGGAAAGCAAGGTTTGGAGAGCGAGTCCAAGGCACGATCCCACAGCCTCACCACGCTGGACTTGCCTTTCTCCTGCTCCCTGCAGGCTGTTCCCTGCACCAGGAAACAGCAAAGGGCATCCCGGGGATGCAGTGCCTCCCCCAAGACCCCCTCATGCAGCACTGCCATGGCCTGCCACCCACCAGGGATGCCCGTGTCCTGCCCACGTTTCGTGGCAGTCCCAGATTCAAACCACAGGGGGTCCTTCCTTTCCCATCCTTGGAAGGAGCAAGGGGTCTTCTGCAGGGGCTGCACAGCGCAGGCAGGTGGGATGTGCCACACTGACAGCCAGGAGAGGACAGACCGGGATCTGCCCCGTACTGCCCGGGGAGAAGGGGAGCTCCCAGCTAGCTTTCCTCCAGGTTCCCTTTGCTTTCCCCAGCGTTCTCTGCTCCCTTCAGGAGTTCCCCCTTCCCTCTCCATACAAGGCCTTATTCCAGCCCGAGGGGACTGAGGCTGCCCAGGGCATCTCTTTCACTGACAAGTCCCTCCCAGGCTGCCTGCCGGGAGCCCCAGGGTGGTGCAGCAGAGCTGGCCTCTGCTCGGGGATGGGGCTACCCCCAGCCCATCCACACCCTCACCTCCCCACTCCAGCATGCAGGTGCTCTGCCTTGTTCCTCTCGTGCCAGGGCCTGGCCAGTGTAGGGAAATCTGCTTTCATGGTTTAACCCTTTTTACTTCATTAATCGCTTCACAAACCCCAACAGCTTTGCAGGGGCACTGCACTCCTCTTGCCTTTCTGCAGGAGTGGGGGCAGCTGATCTGCCTCTTTTTGGCCTCTGGTAACCCTCTCCAAAACTTTTTGGAGGTTTTTAACATCATGTGGTGAGATGTAATCTCCGTGGAGCCGGAGGGAACACAGGCAATGGAGCTGGGCAGCCTTTGCCCCGGGGGCGAGGGGCTTGCGAGGTGCGTGGGCTGCCTTGGGTGGAAGGTGGGACACGTCCCTGCAGCGCCGGTGGGACGCCGGCCACTCGTCTGTAGTCAGGAGAGGATTCTGCTATACTTTTTTCCTGTCTGTAGGTTTTATTCAGACAATATGTAATGATTGAGTGATTTACAATTCAGTGTTAAGCTAATGAAAACGTTGATAATGGTGATAATAAAACCTTTCTTTTTCCTATGGTGTGTTGGAGGTTTTTCTGCGGAGTGTCTCTGCCCTCTCTGTTGCCACCACCCTGATCTTCAGCCCGATTTCAACTGGGCCCTCCCTTCTTCTTGTGTCTGTGGGGAATGAGAGCAACTCATCCTGGTGTGTCCCAGTTCTGTCCCAGGCTCCTTGCCAGTGCTCTTTGTGGAAGGGCTCTCACTCCAGCTCCCTCAATCAGCCCCAGGTTCAAACCTGCATTCTCCTGTGACACTTCCAGATGAAACTGGGCCATGGGCCTCCCCAGGCACAGAGCTCAGCTTGCTCCCAGCTGTACTCTGCTCACCACCCCAGTCCAAAGTCTTCTGCTCCTGCTGTTTTCTTCCCAAAGATCCTTCATGCCCAGCCCTGGCCATTCAAGGGTGATTTTGAAACCCTGGAGGTGAAGACTGCTGGAAGAAAAAAGCACCCCTGCCCCAGGCCATTGGGAATACTGAGTGAGTATGGGTGCAGGGGAGCCTGGGGATCCCTGGGGAAGGAGACCCTCGGATGTCACTGGGTGTGCAGCTGCTGCCTGCTCCTGGGTGACCTTTGTCAGCCCTGGGGTGGGAAGTGTTAGGAGGCTTCTGCTGCAGGGGTCTGTGGGAGGGAGTGGTGAGAACAGGCAGCATTCCCTGGGGAGCCGCCACAAGCCCTTTTCCCATATGGGAGCAATGAGGGATCACAAGTCATAGTTCATGGAGAATTTTCTTAAAGGTTTTTCTCATGCCTCCACATCCCTCTGCTGGTCATTGGGGCAGGACCGAGGGGCAGCTTCTCACCTGCCCCAGCTACAGCCCCTGGGGAGCAGTGGTGGAGGGAGGAGGGGGAGAGTTTCTTCAGCAGTGAGAGTGTCTGGGGGCACCTGGGGGTGAACAGCATCTCTCACCCTCAGACCATCACCAGCTTCCAAAGCAGGGCTCAGGCAGTCCCTGAGCAGCCAAGCTCCCCAGCAGTGCTGCCTGGAAGCTCAGGCCACATGGAAGCAGCAATAACCCGAGTGTGTGCCCCACTTTCTGCACCATCACCTCCTCAGCAGCACTGTCCTCCCCGGGGCAGATGTCACAGCACAGCCCCACTGCCTCTGCTGGGCTTTGCCTGTGCGTGGTGGGCTCTGTGACCCGAGCCCGGGCAGTGCCAGCCTGAATCCAGAGGGAGAGTTCCAAGCTGGCTCAGCCTCTGCATTGGAGATGTTCTCCTGCTTCCAGCTCTGTAAGAGGTGGGTTTCACCAGGGCAATGCTGTGCAGGCTCTGCTTTGGGCAGGAACTCAAGACCTGCCTCTTTCCACGAGGGTGGATGAGGGTGAGAGGTACCATCTCCATCTTAGCCACTGGGAAGGTGTCCCAGGTTTAACAGGAAAAGAGGGAGAGATTTCCATCTGCTGCCCAGCTCTGATGGCAAAGGCATCACATTACAGCCAATCCTTGGGCTGACAGCCTGGGGGAGTGTGGGGGAGATGGGAGATGGCAACAAAAGGGCTGAGCTGGTGGGATCAGCATGAAGTGGCACCACTGAGGAGCTCAGAAGCCAATGAAAGTCTCATTTTTAAGCCTGTTTTACACGCTCAGAGCTTGCTTTCTGCCTCCCCACCCCCCTTCTCTTTAAAACCAAGGCTCACCGAGCTGGTCCAGATCTGAGGCCACTGGTGCAAAGTGAGGCAGCTGCTGGGCCCCTGGGGGGAACTGCAGTCTCCAGGGTTTGGGGCTTGGACACATCCCTCTGCTCCTCCTCCTGACAAATAACCAACCACCACCAGCTGGATTCATCTTTTATTAAGCTGCCACTCAGAACAAAAGGGAGAGAGCAAAGCCTGCCCTGAGACCTTTCCAGCGCTGGCACTCTCCATGCCTTCACATCAAGAAAGGTGGATTTTCCTTCAGGAAAACCCCCTCAGAGGGTATTTTAGATAGAGCCATTAGTGAAAATGTCCCTTTACTGGGGAAAAAAAAAAGTGAAACAGGGCTCCTGCCGCTGTCAGAGCCTAGTCCTGCTTTCCTGCGGATGAGACAGGATGGACAAAGGCCACCAGCTGGAAAGAGCCTCCCAGGTGTGGGGGCACGTGGGGATGGGATCAGCCCCCTCAGGTAATCCCAGCAGCAATAAACAAAGACCCAGGGGCTCGTAGGGACTGTGAGTAGGTGAGGAACTGGCACTCCTGCTGGGCTTCCAGCTGGAGGGAAGGTGGAGAAGGGAGGGGTGATTTTAGCTAAAAAAAAAAGTCTCCTCAAGGCCAAGCCCTTTTCAAGTGACTGTGTGTGGTTGAGGAAGGCTCTCCCTGGGGCTGCCCTTGGCACAGTGGGGTCTCAGCAGAGGAGGGCTGGGCTGGGCTAGACTGGACTGGACTGGACTGGACTGGACTGCAGGAGTTCAGCTTCCCCTGTGAGTGGGACACAGATCCCACCAGCCAGCTCAGGACCTCCCAGTGGCAGTAAGGTGTAAGAGGTACGGTGTGCTGGTGGGCAAGTGGGTGAGTGCATGGGCCTCCAGCTTCCAGAAGCACTGAGCCAGCCTAAAGGACTGGGAGATGCAGCTCCATGAAGCCATCCCCATGTGCTGAGCCCCTTCCCCCCTGCCCATCACCAGCTGCAAACCTATTGCATGGCACTGACTTACCTGCATCCAGTGTCAGGGGACAACTTAAAGGTCCCCAGCCCTGCAGGGCTCACTCACATGGGCCCTGGATTTGGTACTCTCAGCAAGTGCAACCCACCCCATGGAGCAGAGCCATGTGCTGGCAGCAGCCACAGCCAAGGTTTGGCAGGGTGGGAAAGCAGCAATGCACCCTTTGGGGAGCAGGGAGGTGGGAAAGCAAACCTACAGCTTGCAGGGCTTCACACCAGGGGAGCTCTTGCCAGACCCAAATGCCTGAACCTACTTGGGAGGAAAAAGCAAATAAAAACCAACAATGTCATTCAGTGCCTGCAAAAAAGGAGTACTTATTTCTCAACAGGGTTTAAAGGCTCCTGCTGGACCCTGCGTGGGGCTGGCTGCCAGCTGAAGGGGGAGAGGAACAGAAGAGATGAGAGAGTAAGAAGAACCTGGCATCTCTGTTCTTAATTTATCATCATGGTAAGACTCGAGCACTGAGTGCAGCTCGGCACACGCTCCTAGATGGATTTCCTGCGCAGCCGGGGGTGCTGCCGGCAGCGAGGGCTGTTGGATGATACAGTGCTCCCCGGGGAAGAGCCGGTCTGACCCCGCGTGCTCAGGGACACCTCGTCGATTTTGTAGGAGATGGAGTTGTAGTACACGGGGTTGGTGTGGCAGCTCAGGGTCTCGGGGTGGGAGGGCACGGGGCTGCCGCACACCTGGGGTCTGTAGCACAGGCACGTGCAGAAGGAGGGCACCGCGGCCGCAGAGTTGGCCGACTGGCGCCGCTGCCTCTCCGCGTCCTCCTGGACCAGCGGGATCAGGTTCATCTGGCTCGTCCTGTCCTCCACGGGGAGAAAAATGGCGTTGCTGCTCCGGCTGTCCTCTTTTGGCTTGAGGTGGACGTTGTTCCGGGCTCTCCTCAGCGAGGCTCGCTCCTCGGCGTCCCGCCGCTCGTCCTCCGAGTTCATCGTCAGGAACCGCAGCACCACCAGGTTGAGGAAGGCGCCGATGACGGTCAGGCCCACCAGGATGTACATGAAGCTGAAAGCCACGTACGGGGGCTTCTTCTGCAGAGCCTCGTTCTTCTGCAGAGCCACAAAGTCTCCAAAGCCAATAGTGGTCAGGGTGATGAAGCAGTAGTAATAGGCATGAAAGAAAGTCCAGCCCTCGAAGTAAGAGAAGGCTGCGGCGCCGATGCACAGGGTGCCCATGCAGGACAGAAAGCCCACAAGGACCATGTTCTCCATGGAGACATGGGTTGTCCTCATGCCGAGACACTTCTTGATCTTCTTGAGCAGCAGCCGCACCACGGTGTTCATGCGCTCCCCCAGGCTCTGGAACATGACCAGCGTCAGGGGGATGCCCAGGATGGCGTAGAACATGCAGAAAACTTTGCCGGCATCCGTGCCCGGGGCAGCGTGTCCATAGCCTGTGAAGGAAAGAGGAAAAGTGGTGTCAAGCCCCCACTGCGGTTTCCAGCAAGGCTGCCCTGGGACCAGAGGAGCAGTAGGAGAGTGGGGGAAAATGGGAAACGACTCGGTAACAGATCTGCAGGCAGTGCTAACGGGGCCACATGAGGCCACATCCTTTGGGATGATGGCACATCACAGTATCATGTAGGCAGAACCTCATTTGGCCTCTAAAGAGAGAAGGTCCCCTCCTGACAGACCCTGAGCTTGTTGCAGAGTCCAGGAGGGGCCCTAAAGCTGGACTGGGGTCTAGAGCTGGACAAGCCTCCTGCAGCTCACAAACAATTCAGAGACCATGCCAATGCAGCGCCGGGTGTGCAGGGTAACCTTAGGGAGGCTGAGGGCTCCACAGGATGCTGAGACAACAGTGCCAGGGTCACCCTGTGGGAGGGAACACACCCAGCCAGGACTGTCCACAACTGCCCTGCAGGGGCATCGAGACCTCCCTTGGCACCTGCTCTTGGTCCTCCTGAGCACTCCAGTGTCACAGGAACCTTTGACTCTCGGCTATATGAGAACCCGCTGTGTGACCTTGTTGGACACAAGTTATAGAGCCAGTCTCTGCAGAAGCATCTAAGTGTGGGAGGACTTCTGCAGAGCCACTCCGGATTTACTCCAGTGTCACCAAGACTCAGACCTAACTCACGGCCAGACTGCTGGGGAGGAGGGGTTGTGCTGTTTTAGATGCAGGGAAGTGAGCATTTATGCCATTGAAGCCCTGTCAGCCCTTGTCCCGGGGACAAGGAGCTCAAGGAGGACAAGGTTTGCCTTGAATGCCTCCTGAGATTTAATTTCCCCACCTTGGTCCAAGTTTCAGAGCTGTGACTCAAGGACACACAGGATTACACCGTGAGGCATAATGAGGTATTCACTGCAATCTTCCGGACTCCAGCGATTCTGTGCCCACCTCAATTACAGCAGCTCAACAGAAACCAGTGGCCCCTGCCCTCAGCAGATGAGTAACAAACTCAGTGCAGGGAGTCACGTGGCATGGGGAGTAACAGCATCCAAAGGCATCCAAAGGCATCCAAGCCTTTCTTCTGAGTTTCTTTTACAAGAAACTACCAGGGCCAGAAACTTCCCTTCTGAAGGTGCCCACAGAACAGCACTGGCTCCTTCCTATGCTGCTGCTGGGGCCTTTCACAGACAGCTACTTATATTTTCACTTTTTGCGGGAATTTGTGTGACTTTTGCGTGGAGAAGAAACCCTTTTGTTTATTTCTGTCTTACTCTAAGCTGTGCCTTGGCTTCACCTCTGTCCTTGCTGCCAGTGGTTTTCCAGGACTCTTGTGGAAGCTGACAGCACACAGTGATGGGATGACCAGAGGAGGATAACCATGTTATCCCGGGCTCTGGAACACACCTCCCACTCCAGGAAACTCCTGCTTGGGACAGGGTTGAGGGGCTGAGGACAGCATCCTGCACCATGCTGCACTCTGAGCTGTGAGCAGGCAGGAAGGCACCAGCTTCTAATTGCTCTGTCTGTTCACAAACCCACACAATCAAAAATTATGAACTTAATGCCTGCATGCCACATTTCACAGAATACAGAGCAGACAGAAAACTGCAGTGGCAAAAAAACCCTGTCAGATCCAAGCTTAATAACCAAGTGCAATTACCAGATCCCAGGCTACCAGATAATACAGTGACAGCAATGAGGAGGTAAATATAATGATCCATAAGAGCAGTAAGTGGAAAAACAGTTGTTACACCCTGAGAGACTGTTGAAAGAGCGTTTGACTGATGCTTTCAAAATGACAAAGGGAATTAGAAAGAGTAAACACAGCTACATTAACGTTAAAACTGAGATTTGGAGCACAGCCCAACACAAAGAGATCTGACATGCCAGTGTTTCAGAAATATGGCACCTGGGCTGCAATTATTTATTGCACAGGGCGTGTGAGAAGCGTAGCCATTGTTTGTCACAGCTGACAGGAAAATCATGTAAATGAAGCTATAACCTGTCAGGCAGTGATGGAGATTTTTGCTGAAGCCATTCACCCTTCCCTCCTGCTGGGGCCTCACCTGAACTGTGCCCCAAGCCCGCTGCTGTTTGCTGGCCACGTGTGTTCCCAGCTGCACGGCCCCCATCCCATGGGAACACATGGAGACCCCAGGCAGGGCCTGCAGGGTTCCTGCCCCTCTGCCACCTCTTGTCCTCTGGTAACACAGTGCAGTTGATCCCATCAGCCCTTGTCCTGGGGGATGATGCTTTCAGCTACCAGAGGTGTTTCAACCATCCCAAGCCCTTTGGTAAGGCTGAGTTCTGTCCTGCAGATGAGGAGGTAGCTGCTGGCTGTGGCAGGGCAGGATTTGGCCTCAAAATTCCTGCCCCCAAAACACATCTGCTGACTGAAATCCCAGTACAAGCAGTGACACAAGCACAGGATCCCAGCCTGTCTACCCCCATGGGATGCTCAGGGTGCATGGATTAATCAAAATGGATTAATTAAACAGTGCTAAACTCCCATGTGGCTAATCTCACCTAGAATTAAGGGAACCCTCAAACAGTTTCATTCTCTTGCAAAATTGAAGGCACTGGGCTCTAGTGTGGGTGAGTGTGGCTGTGTGGGAGTTTAATGTGATTCAATCGTTCCCCTCCAAGCTGACACCCATCTCTCTGCAGGTTCCCGCGCAGGCAGAGCAAGGGGCAGTGGCTGATGGCTCTCTTGGCTCCCTGAAGCAGGTCTCACACAGCCAAACCTCTGGAGTTTTGAGCTGGCAAAGAAGCCAACAGTTCTTGCCCAGCTCTTTGCTCGGCTCGCTGGACACAGCCCTGAGCAGGGGAGAGACGTGGCCCCCACCTCTGCCCTCCCACATCGCTGCCGGCTTGGGCAGCTGCCTGCCCCGAAGGTTCCTGCAGAAGCTCCACGAGGTGCTGCCTCCCTGGGACACCATCGTGTCTCGTGGCCTCAGCCACAGCAGCATCCCCGGCATCTGGGTGGCCCCAGCCTGCCCATGCCTTGCCTTCCCCAGCGCTGGGCACTGGGGGTCTCACAGGGTCAACTTGGGGGTGGCCTAAAGAGATGCCTAAAGAGATGCAAGCCTTGCGAGGAGGAGACCTGCCTCTGCCATGTGGGCATCCCCCAGGCTGTCCTGGAGCTCCCGGGGGTACTGGAGGTGAGGGGATGGAGGAGGATGGGGTGCAGGGAGGTGGCGATGGAGGGATACGGGATGCAGGGGCGTGGGGATAGAGGAAGATGGGAGACAGGGATGGAGGGACACGGGGTATCGGGAGGTGGGGATGGAGGGACACGGCGTGCAGCGGGTTGGGGATGGAGGGATACCGCGGGCGCCGGCCGGGCTGCCCGCACTCACCGATGGTTGTGATGACCGTGATGGCGAAGTAGAAGGAGCCGGCGAACTTCCACTGGCGGCCGGCGCGGTGCGGCTCGGCCTGCAGCACCAGCCGCTCCAGCTCCCGGTAGTCGTCGGCGGAGAAGCGGTACTTCCTCCGCAGCTCCCCGCGCTTCTGCTCCAGCAGCCGCTTGCGGCCGCTCTCCGCCTCCGACTCCAGCGCATCGAAGACGGCGGCGCCCACCAGCAGGTAGGAGAAGATGCAGAGGATGAGCGCGGCCGTGCGCAGGTTCTGCCGCTTCATGGCGAGGGGCGGCCGCCGCGCTCAGCCCGCGCTCCGCATGGCCCCGCCGCCGCCCCCCGCCCGCCCCCCGCGCATCCCCCGCGCACCCCCCGCGACCGCCCCCCGCGCACCGCGCACCGCACACAGCACACCTCACACCGCACACAGTACACAGCACACAGCACACCTCACACCGCACACAGTACACAGCACACCGCACACCTCACACCGCACACCTCACACCGCACACAGTACACAGCACACCGCACACCTCACACCGCACACCACTCACCGCCCCCTGCACACCGCGCACCGCACACCTCACACCGCACACAGCCCACCGCATACAGCACACCTCACACAGCACACCGCACACCTCACACCGCACACCTCACACCGCACACCGCACGCGGCTCCCCCGCACCGACCGCGGGCACCGCGCAGCGCCTCCGGAGTGCCCCGGGCACCGCCTCCTGCGCGCTCCCCGCACCGGCTCCGTAGGCAGCAGCTGCTTCGGTCACCGGCTCGCACTCACCCCAAGGCTGGCTCCGCTGTGTCCCAAGCCCCCCGTGCCCGGCACCCTGGGCAGAGCTGGCGGCCCCGGCTGCAGGTGAGCCCTGGCGAGGCCGCGGTTCGTCCCGTGCCGGTGGCGCTGGTGACAGCCCCGTTCCCTCCAAAGCTGCCCCTGGCTGCGTGCGCCCAGGCTGGAGGAGGTTCTCATGCCAGCACCTGCCCTCCTGGCAGAAAGGGCCTTTAGGGCTGTGTGGCTGTCCCGAAGTACCCTGCGGTGCCATCCAGTGCAGGCAGCCCTCGCTCCTGCTGCTCTGCCCAGCTGTGGGCAGGGAGTGCTGCTTCACACCAAGGGCACTGAGGAACAGTTCCCCGTGTTTGCTGTGTTACCCCCATTATCTGTCTGTGTCACCCCTATTGCCTGTGTTGCCTGTGTTACCCACATTATCTGCGTCACCCGTATTATCTATCTGTGTTATCAGTGTTGTCTATCTGTGTTGTCTGTGTTATTTATCTGAGTTATCTATTTTGTGTTCTCTGCCTGCATTATCTGCCCCATCTCTGCTTTTCACAGCCAGTCACCAGAGCAGACAGTCTGCCTTCTTGTGTCCAGTGCTGTCTTAAGAGGGCAGAAAGGAACAAAATAACCAGGTTCATGGTTTCTGCTGCTTTCTTTGGCACGCTGATAAGAGGCTGCAGGCACAGGGGGCATGGGGCCTGTCAGCCCTGTGCTGGTAAGGAGGGCAGTGAGTGCAGCCTCCTCACACTGATGGGCTGTGGACAGCCCAGGTCAGCTCCGAGGAGTGGGGAAATTACCTGGGGAAGGAGGCAGAGCCCACAAAGTGAAGACCCTGTTTCTCATTCCTGGTTTCCACAGCTTTTATGTAACTCTTATACTTCACTTTTAAAAATAGATACTTCTGAGTTGTGTGTTGCAGGAGATAGTATCTTGTTCAAGAAATAAACTATCTTTCTTTTGGCTGGGAATAAAGCAAGTAAAAAAACCAATGAGGCTTACATCCCTCTTCATCCATCTTGCTTCTCTCTCTGGAGAGGACAAGATGCTTTGGGCTTTCTTAGCAACAATGGAGGTTTACATTGGACATAAGAAAAACTTTTTAACCATGAGGACAGTGAAACACTGGAACAGACTGCTGGGGGAGATTGTGGCACCCTGTCACTGGAGGAGTTTAAAAATAAGATAAGCAGATGTCTGGGTGCCTGCTGAAAATGCTCTGGGTGCTGCAGATGCTCTCCTGAAGCAGGGGATGACTCAATGCCCTCCCGGAGCCCCTTCCAGCCCTGTCCTCAGCATTTCCATGGCCAGCACGAGGGACACAGTGGCCTTTCCTACTGTAATTGTGAACTCTTTTTCACCCTGGCCACTTGCCACTTCCCTCCTCCTGGCTGAGCCTCCGTGCCAGCACCATTAGTGAAAGTTGTTATTGGAGAAAAAATAGACTCCCCCATCCATCCATCCAGCAGCAGCACGAGCTGTCAGTTTGCTGCTCACATCGCAGCGCTCACAGCCCCCTAAATCATGTGGCACAGCCTGTGCTGGAGGAATGTGTCTGGTTTGTGTTCCCTGTGGTGTGTTTGCAGCCCTGCTAACGGGGCCTGGGGTGCTGTCAGACCTCCCAACCCAGAGACATGTGGGGGCTGCCTGCTCGAGTAGACACACTTCACCTGCTGCTGGGAATTTTTTCCACTGGTCAGCAATGACATCCCACCTTGCAGATGGGCCCCAGAGCTGCTAATTGAGCTCCTGTTGGTTCCAGAGGAAGGAAGTTTTAAGGTGACTGCATCGCTGGGTGCCTGTCACGCATCTTTTAGGAGGAGTTCTGGAGCCTCTAGTGCCTCCAGTGCCTCACAGGTCAAATTCTGGGGTCCCCAGGTAATATTTGGAGTGTTAAGCTGATGCTGTAGCCTGTTATTCAAAGCCATCTGCTCTGTTGGGCCATTGTAGGTTCCAGTGTGGAAAACCCTGGGAGATGCTCTCTACCTGTGAGTGACAACAGGCACAAGGCATTGCCCAGTTTCCTTTAGCAGCAGCATCAATCTGAGCTGCTCATGGACTAACTAAATCCTCCACAGTTTGTTTCCAAACCCATGTCTGTGATGAGAGCCAGCAGTGCTTGGGCAGTGATGGCACAGCACGGCCTTCCCAAGGTGGTACCCACACAGGGAGTGGGTCTGTGGATGGGATATCACCCTCCCTGTGGCTGGGGCCATCGAGGCAGGGGGGCCATCTCTACCATGCAGTATTAACAGCTCTCAGCACTTCCTCAGGAGGGTTTCTGCCAGCTCTGTCCTCTTTGGGGCTGGTGGAGGGTTGACTTTAACTTCTCCTGAGCCCAGAAGAAATCCTCGCCTTGCAGTGTCTTGTGGCACAGCTCTTCCCTCAGCATGGCCCTTCCCTGCTGCTCTGGGAGTTACAGACATCGGGATGTCACTGATTTCTCCTTTCGGGCTTTGCTTTGACCTCGTGCAGGTCACAGGGCCCTGTGGAATAAATGCTGCTCAGCAGGAACAAGGGTAGCAAGATCCATCTCCTAATGAGAAATCCCCCAGTAACAAACCAGGACTGTGCTCAGGGTGGGGCTGGAGGCTTCATAATTCAGGCTGAATTCAGCCTGCTCTGCCTCTCACCCCTCACACGATGCTTTCTCCTGCCTGCAGCGAGCACGGGGCAGGAGAGACACCAAACTGTGCCAGATGGCTGTCGTGCAGGGCCATCCTGTCCTGCCCCTCCTGAGGCACAGGAAAGTTTCACACTTTCCCACTGCCAAACCCTCCAGTTCAACCTTTGTCTTCCCCCCAACTTTGCTGCACTCGAGGAAGGTCAAGCCGGAGCCGCAGGCTCAGGGCAGGCAAGATAATGTACTTTATCATTGATTTTCAGTGAGAAGTTGCATTATGAGATTAAATGTCTCGTTTTTATTGCGTGGGGAGGCAGAGAGAAAGCGGGAGCCCTGAAAATAAAACCGAAGTCGAAGCGCTGTGTTCCTGTTGTGAGGTGCTCGTGACTGGGAGTAAAGTTGCCTTTTCTTCAGTCCTTTGGAGGTGAACTCCGAGAAGCTGCTTCCTCTGAGGTTGGTAAACAAAGTCAAACTTCATCTGTGTTTAAACCAGTGCCTAATTAATGTGTCTAATTGGCCCACATCTACTAATTCCAGGCTGGCAGGGAGTTTATTAAAAAGCTTTTCTAGTTCTAATGGATTGAAATAAGCAAAGCTGCTTAACAGTCTCAGATGAAAGGCACTAACCAGGGACCCAGTGGTGTGGGTCTGTCTGAGTCAGTCCCACATCCCATCAGGCATCAGCCCCCTCCTGGGTTTTGGCCACAAGGTGCTCCAGCTCTCTGGGGGCTTGGGGACCATCCTGGTGTTCTCTGCTTCTTTTGGTTATTTTTAAACACCAAATTGATGCTTTTGTTAGCCTTAGTAAAAGCATCAGCTGTTCTGGGTTTAATGCCATTTAATACCGAGATTATAGATAGCCTGGCGATGCCACGGGGTATTTTTAAAGCAATGGATTACTTAATTTCTGAAAAGTATTAGTTATCAATGTGTGAATGACAACCAGCTGCAGCTGCCCAGATGGTGTCCTTGCACCACAACAGGCTGCAGGCACTGCTGGGCTGACCCCAGCCAGGCAGCACCATGAGCTGGGCACAGAGTCCCTGATGGGGCCCAGGCTGGATGTAGCTGGGTTTACTTCTGCCCCATGACTCCATAAATCATCCTGTAAATTATCCTCCTGCTCACCAGAGCTGCCTTGTCTGTGTCCTCTGGCCATGCTCAGGGTTACTGCAGGCTCAGTAACCTCGTGCTTTCTCTCTGCTCTGAGAATTCCCACTGCCTCCTTCCCAGGGTCTTTGGAGCTCAGATGGCTGCAGGCACTTTGCTCTGCACTGTGATCTGGAAGCTCAGCAAGGGAGTCAATGAAGTGTTGGATATAAACTGGTTGCAAGTGCAGATCACCTCCACATGGTCTCCATGGATGTGGCTTCCAGGTTTCAAACCCAGGGCAGGTGGACACAGCTCCACATATGACTGTCTTCAACCACCTTGCCCAGTGCCAGCCAAGCTGCCTCCTGATAACCCACAGCTCATTAGTAAGCCTTTCCCAAATACCCTTCCTACCCAAAATGGGTCCTGCAAAGGGCTGCACAGCCCCATCCTCTCCATCCTGCTCCCCCAGCAGCCTGATCTCCCAGTGGTTGCACACAAAGCAGACTTGGGCTGGAAATGCTGACAGTGCTCTTGACAGTTTATGGTCACAGACTCTATTTTCAGCCTAATAAGTTTTTTATGTGCTTGGAAAACTGTCAGTTGAACATCAGCCAGGTAAAAAGCACCTGCCGTAAAGTGCCTGGACCACAACCAAATGGGAAAGGTGCTGCTCTGCTTTGGCAAGTTCTTGATCTCAGACACTTCAGTTGGTTCACTTATTTGGTTTGAGGATCTTGGCTCTAATTATAAAATAATAAGATAAAAGAATAACGCCTGTATTTAAAAATTTGTGGAAATATTTGCTGAGAGCCTGTTAAATCAGAGCGAGCAGCAAGTCTGGATTGGGGTTTGGGGTTGGGAGGCTCTGTGGTGCTGCTGCTGGTGCTGGGGTGGGCTGGTCCCTGCCAGGAGACCCTGGATCCCAGTGATGAAGGAGAGAGGCTTTGGGAGCATGTCTGGAGGAGGGTCCTGCTTCTGGGGAAGGTGAATGTGGGGATGAGCTGCCACTCCCACTGCAGACTCACCAGAGAAACGTGGGCATATCCTTGGCCACAGGGAGAGCAGGGCCTGATCCCGAGCCTGCCTCTGCTCCCACCATGGACATCACGATGCTATAAATGACTTCCCTGCCTCACAGCCTGTGGGACTGCCAGGAAGGTCAGGGGTGGGGGGACAAAGGGTCTGGGAATGAATTGCAAGTATGTGAGGCTCTTTCAGAGGGTTCCCCGGTGACAGCTTCGCCCCTCTCATACCAGGCAGGCCATGCCATGGCAGCCCTGCATTGCAGGCACTGGCACGGCCCTGAACTGCTGCAGGGATGCTGTGGGACACCCCTGGGGAGTGATGGGCTCTGGCAATGCTGTGTGGCACATCACAGCCCACGGGGCACCCGGGGAGCACCGTGTGTGGCTCCAGTGCCAAGGGCAATAACCAGGTCCCTGCATCCCACGGCACCCTCCTTGCCCAGGTGCCACTGCAGGGTACTGCAGGCTGGTGGGACAGGAGGCAGCACCATCCAGGAGGGAATGGTGGTGGGTCCAGTCCCGGGTGGGATCTGCCCATCCTACAGCCCTGCCCTGGGTGGGATCTGCCCATCCTGCAGCCCTGTCCTGGGTGGGATCTGCCCATCCTGCAGCCCTGCCCCGGTGGGATCTGCCCATCCTGCAGCCCTGTCCTGGGTGGGATCTGCCCATCCTGCAGCCCTGTCCTGGGTGGGATCTGCCCATCCTGCAGCCCTGTCCTGGGTGGGATCTGCCCATCCTGCAGCCAGGGTGGTGCCGCCCCAGGGCTCTGCTTCCCAGGCAGACAGTTTACAGCAAATGGCTCCTCTCGGTCATAAAAATAACCCGGTAGGAAACAAACTGCCCCCAGCACTTCAACTGGGGAAAAACGCATTTATTAGTAAAACTCAAGATGTCCTTTCCTGTTCTGCCTCTCAAGCTCAGGGAACCAGCGCTGAGAGGTTGACTGAGCTTCCCAGCCAGGCACCAACTTATTTCAATGCAGGGCTTGATTCCTCCAAGCTGCATTTTTCTTCCCCTGCTAGCGATGCTCCACTGCTGGTCCCTGACTCCACTGGCCAGAACGGCTCTGGCTTTGGGGCCACAAGCGATTTCCCAGCTGATAGAGCTGTAAATGCCCTGTGAAATGTTCCCAGATGCCCATGCCTGAGAGCACAGCAGGTTCCCTGTGGGGAATGAACAGAATGAAACGAAAATATTTGTCTTCTCCTGCAGTGTAAGCACTGCACTGGGGACTTATTTCTTCCTCCACCTTAAAACTGCAGATTTTACTAAGTCTTGTTTATATGCAGAGGGTTTCCAGTTGCTTCTCTCCAGGCCTTTCTGTGGAAGGACTAACTGGGGAGATGAGAAGCATCCTCCCTCAATTGCAAATGCAAAAATGTCCCTGTGTATGCCTGGCCCAGCTGCTTGTCCCCTGCTCCAGCCCTGGCCCTTTCTTCCCAGCCATGCTCAGGGGCTGTGTGGTGTCTCTGGGGTTACAGCAAACAGCAGCACAGGAATCACAGCTGTTCCAGGCATCAGGAGGCAGATGTGTCATGAATCAGTTAAAGGGAATCTAATTAACAGTAGGCCTTTCTGGAGGCAGGCAAGCCACCTGAGCTAAATGGAAAAATAAATCAAAGACTTCTCTGGGTTCTGAAATATTTAGTTGACTTTTAGGTCCTTTATTTGAGAGTCTCCTGGGCTGGGAGCTGAGTAGTGACAGGCAGTGATGCTCACCCAGGTACCCCCCAAGGCACCTCCACTCATGGCCAGGCACAGACTCAGGGCATGAGTCCGGAGGTTCAAGCCTGGTAACTGCTTGCCAACAGTCCCCTTTATGGAGGCAGATGAGAGCTGTGAGCTTACCCAACCTGGGATTTGGAGGTGCTGATGTGACTGCAAGCCCAGTGCCCATCCTATGCTGTGACTTTGGGAGATGATGTGTCCCTCACTCCCAGGCTGAGTCTGCAGGTTTATCCATGAGACACCCTCTGCTCCTCACCCATGCAGCACTGGAAAGGAAAATAAACCCTGCTCCTGCCTTCTGTGCTGCTGGGTTTACTCCCACTGGGGCTGACCAGAGCTGCTGGCAGTAAATATTGGGATGAGGAGTTATGAAACTGCCCTGGGGAAGCTGCAGCATCCTGTGATGGGTATTGCAGACCCGTGGGGTTCTTGGGCACCCCCAGGCTCCTGGATGAGCAGCATCCTGTGGGAGCTCTGCATCCCCATCTCCCCTGGACTCTCAGCATGGCACTGTGTGGCCTTCCCACCACTGCACACTTTTAAAGGGACATTTTTGCCTCCAAAACCAAGTAACAATTCAGTGAGAGTGTCTGGCTCTTGGCATCACCACCAGTGAACCTGCCCCTGAGCTCTCCTCTGTGCCAGCACCTTCCCATTGCCAGGACACCTCCTCACTGCTGTGCCTGGACTGGAGACAGGGCGGTGCTGCAGGGTGGGCTGTGCTGGCAAGAGCACACTGGGAGCTGTGGTGTGTGGTTGGGTGATTATCCCCAGCCCTGCTGAGCAGCACCTCCTCATCAGAGCAAAGGCAGCCAGGACAGAGTTAATCTGCCTCCTGTCCTTGGGTGTCCTCTGCACAGCATGGAAGCAGCCTCTCTGAGGAGAAGCTGTGGTGCCCCTGGGAAGCCTGGGAGCTCTCTGATGCTCCTTGGGGTAAACTTTTTGCCCGTGAGCCCAAACAAGCAGAATAATTTCACTCTGGCTGCGCTGTGCCTTGGCACGAAGGGCTCCTCAGGGAGCCCTGGATCGGACCTGAGTGTCTCCTGTTCATGGCAGAGCGGAGGTGTTGGGCGAAATTCAAAAGACAGTCTCCTCCCAGGATGCTGGGGAGGCAGCTCAGACACAGGGCAGCTCCCGGGGGTTTCTCACTGCCCCACTCCTGTGCCGGCACCTGCCTCAGCAGCGATCGGCACCGATGGCAGGGGCAGGGAGGGTTTGCCGCCGAGGGGTATTTAAAGGGATGGTGTGAAAACGGGCACAACTCCTTTAAGGTTGGGCTCAGCAAGCCGTGCAGGCCAAAGCCCTGCCCGCGGGTGCAGCCGCAGTCGCTGTGCAGCGCTCATACCAATGCGCGTTCGGCGGGAGCCGCTGCCGGGAGCTGCCAGCGCATCCTCAGCCCGCCCGCTCCGCGGGTCCCGCGCGGCACGGCATCACCTATTTATAACTGCACGCACTGCAGGAGCAGTATTAGACTGATGGCTTCACACAGTCACGCTAAGTGTTGCTCTGTTTCTGTGATCTGCTCTTCTGCACAAGCTGTTGGTCTCCTGGATGCCAAAACACTCTGCATAGTGTAGACAAAGACTCTCACTTTTCATTTTTATTAAAATCTTCACCAACAGCACCAGTCCTTGGCATATTTACCAGTTTTTCCCAGGCCACCTTGAGTAATTGCATCTACTATTCCTTCCCAGTCCGATCGATATCCTTGGTAAATAACATAACCTGTCAGCTCTGTTATTGCTGCAGACAAAGGTACTTTAGCAATGAAATTGTTTTGCTGGAGAAATAAATACTTCTCACTGAATCTGAGGATGCTGTGACCTTTCATTAGTGATCTGAGTGACTCATCCCTTTTTGTGTGCACACTGCAGACTCCTACTATGCCATATGAGATGTTCCACAAAGTCCCACTGCCCGGAGTAATGGGGAGCTGAATCCTGTGGGAGCCTCCTGCTCACGCTGCTTCTCCTCCAGCTTCACACCTTGCCTGGGCCTGGGGGCTCTCACGTTATGGCAATGCCCTGTTTACCCAGCAGAGACCCTGTGCACCATCTGAGTTCCACAGCAAAGTCCCCAGCACACCCAGCCCTTGTCTGCAGCAGCTCCTGCTCTCCCTGGCTCTGGAAATCTCTGGCACAAAGGTATAAGCCCCTGTTCTCAGCACAGGGCAGCCAACCCACACTTGTTTGGCACACAGGGCTTCACTGGCCATACCAACACCCCTGAATTGAGTGGAGGAGCTCAGTCAGAGCCAGGTTTTAGCCAACCTGTGCAAAATGAAACAAAGAATTAATCAGAGTTCAGTTCCATGCGTTTAACTGCTGCTGATGGTGATATTTTCTTCTTGTAGAGTGTTTTGCATGCCAAGAAAAATAGTTTTGCACTTTGGAGGAAAAAGGTAGTTGTACATCTGTGCATCTGTACGTGTGCCTGTTATTTCTGCCTGACTGGCTTCCCTGGGCTGTCAGCTCAAAAGTTCTCTGTAATATAACAAATCTTGACTGTGTTTGCAATAAATCCTCAACCAAGAGGGGTTTATTTAATGAAACAAGAAATGCTGCCAAATTTCCATGCTTGATCCTGATCCCATTAATGTCAGCAGGAGAATTCCCACCATATTTGATTTATTGGTTGGGTCTAATCTGCGTAAAGGAGTTAAAAGTCTGCTTTCAGTTTCCTGTTGCAGATAAGATCATTGCAGATAAGATCATTGCTCCACAGTGCTATGACAGAGAGGCTGTGGGAAAAACAGACAGCAAAACAATCCTCTCATCTGATTTTAGGCACCTTCAAACCTGACAACACATAGCCAAGGGAGGGGAAGAAGGACGTTCAGCTCATCACAAGCCAGGAGCCCAAAAGAGGTGACGGTTCAGGATGTAACCGTGGCACAGCAGCTCCAGTGGCACCGACCCCCTCCTGCCAGCAGCAAATGCTTGTGTGTGGCCCTTCCAATGGCTGGCAGAGCTGCTGGGAGAAGGGGAAGGGGGATTAAGACAGCTCCCCACCTTCTCTGCCCCTTTACCCACTCCCTAAAATGTGCTGTGTCCTCCCCTTCCCATGCCACAAGTGGGGACCGGGACAGACCAGGAGCTGCCCGTGCTGGTTGCTCCAGGGACAATTCCACCCTTCTGGTCCCAGGGGACAAAGAGCCCTGGGGAGGTTTTGAGCAGTCAGCAGTGCCCACACATTTTGAGCAGGTCCCCTGAATGTCCCACAGAGAGCAGCAGCTGCTCTTTGGGAGGAAAGGAGCCTCCCTGGCAGCAAGGGCAGGAAGGAGGACTGGAGGAAGAAAAACCGGAGGAAGGAGGGCTGAAGGACTGAGGGCTGCTTTGTTGTCCCATCACCAGCTGTGAAGAAGCTCATGTGCCAATGGTTGACCCTTAATTGCACACACAGCCAATGAAGGGAAGGAGCTCATTATCCCCCCACCCAGTTCACAGGGGGAAACAGCATTGTCTGAGAATAAAGGAGACTGCAAAGCAAGAGATTAAAAAGAAGAGGAGCTGGACAGCTTTCAGAGGTGTGGGTACTTTTTCAGCAAAGGAGGAGAAGAGTTCAGAGCTCTGGAGAAGCCCAGATCTGGGGAGTGTGTGCAAGGAGCAGGAACCAGATCTGATCCTAACGTCCCAATCCTCCCTGGAGGACTGAGAAGAAGAGATTGGGAGAAGATCTCATTTGCAAATTTAAGCTTTGTCTTTGGGTTTCCTCTGGACGAGGGGGGAGCTGGAGGTTTCAGGACTCTGCTGGACTTCTGAGTGGTGCTGAGCAGACTCCGGGCACCGACCCCAGTGCATGCCTGTCCCAGATCACTCTGCTGGCTGCCTGCAGTCTCCCTGTCTGCAGAGAACTGGGAAGCTCACCTTCGCTCCCTGAACAGGCACGTCCCTGCTCCAGCCCACTGGCCCCCCGGTTCCCTAATTCCCATAAAGCTTTAAAAGAAGCCAGACGACTCACAGCTGAAAGCAGAAGGTGTTTATTTGCACTTTAGACATATTAACTGGGCTGAAATCCAGCCGTGCTCCCCGCACGCCGCGGCAAAGGTGGGTCTGTGCGAGGCACCGAGAAATATCAGGCAAAGGGCAAATGGGGTGTCAGAGTGTGGGGACTGCTGCCAGGAAGGGGCCACCGTCTGCGGATCAGCACCTTCGCAGAACGAGCTGATTTAAACTCACAACCCACTTCCTTCAGCCGAGCTGCACGGGTTGTTGTTGCAAATCACTTTGTTTCTCTGAGGGAACCGAAACGTTTGAGCTTTTCCTGGTGGGTAAACGCCCGGAGTGAAAAACACTCCCCGCCCCGAGGCAGAGATCCCCCAGCCCCAGCTGATGACAGCGACTGCCCTCGCCACCGAATCCTGCAGCGCTGCTTCTCTGTTTCTGCACGTCTCGTTTTTACGAGACACATCTCACCCCCTCGCAAGGCTGGGTGCAAGATGCAAGCACCCACCCGAAGGTTTGCAAACTCTCCCGGGATTTGCCTGCTGCAAGCAGCGGTTCAAGCTATTGCAGTCATTTGCCTTCCAAAATAAAATCCCAACCAACAGCCTCCAAAAACTTTAAAATGCCCGCTTGTTGGTGTCTGCTATATGCTCTTCCAAAAGAAAGTGAGTAATGCTAAAAATCTTTTTACTTCTGCAAAGGAGGTGGGCAGTAGAGGATCCCACAGATCCTGAAACAGCTCAGTCATCCAGGAACAACTAGCCCAGGAACTGGCACAGCTTAGTCATGTATTTAAAACCTGACTTTTTTAATGGATATTTCCATTTCTAAAGCACCTCCCCCCTGCAAAAAACCACACTCTCAGCTGTCCTGTGATGCAAGTAGTATCCTCTCCTTAGATGAAAGAGGGAATCCTTTCTCAAACACGTCCAGTGGGGGAGAGGGGATGCAGCAGGGGGACAAGGCATCATTTGCCCCCCCATCCCTCACTCGTCGAGGAGCTTGGTGAGTGTCCAGGAAGGAGGAGGATGTTAACCAGCTCACATTGCTGCATTGGATGCTGGAGAGAAATATTTCCAGACTGGAGCAAACGTGATGTTCATCTCTCTCCATCTCCGGGTGTACTGTAGGCAAAATGGTCGGGTTGAGTAGCTTTGCTCTTAAAACCTGGTCCCAGTTTGCTCTCCAGTGCTGACAGTCCTGTCTATCCCTTGTGCCAGATGGGAGCCCATGATACTGCAGTCACTGTCTCTGCAGAAGAGGTGTCAGTGTGGGGGCTGCTCCCAGGAAGGGGCCAAGCACAAGCTGAAGTGGTGCATCCTTTGTGTAGGGGGGTGGCATTGGGTACCTCAGAGCGCATCAGAAGCCTCCTCCTTAGAAAGGATTGTGCCCCCCTTCCTCTGACCTGCCTGGCAAGAGGTGTTCCTGCTGAAGGTGGTCCCCAGCTGCAGTCTGGCTCTTTGTCGGATGCTCCTCATCCGTGACATGCAGTCTTTGCCCGTGATCACATAGAGCAGGGGGTTGAGGGCACTGTTGAGGCTGGCCAGGCCCCGGGTTACCTGGTAGGAAACATAGATGTTCTTTGAAGCCTGTGTGCAGAACCCTTGCAGCTGCCAGACACGGGACAACAGATTGAGGTTCCTGAAGATGTGGTAGGGGAGGAAGCAGATGGAGAAGAGAACCATCACGAGAACCACCAGTCTGATGCTTCTTCTCCTGAGCTCGAGGTCCATGGTGTCGTTCCTGCAGAGCACAAACACCACGTGGCAGTAGCACCCGAGGATGATGAGGAAGGGGATGATGAACCCGGTCACGGTGACAGCCAAGGTGTAGGGCAAGTAAACGTCCAGCTTGTTGTGCCCCGTCGTGTCGTGGCACCGCGTCCCTGTGTCATCCGTCTTGCTGAAGGCAAGATCAGGACCCACCTGGGCAATGACCCACGCCCAGACTGCCACGCTGAGCCACGGAGAAGAGGCAGCCCCCTGGCACCGGCCCCGTGCCTTCAGCGGGTGCACGATGCCCAGGTAGCGGTGGATGCTGATGCAGGTGAGGAAGCCGATGCTGGCGTAGAGGTTGAGGTGGAAGAGGCTGCGGGTGGTCTGGCACCAGCCCTGCCCGAAGAGCCACACTCTGCCTCGCAGGTAGTAGCTGACGAGGAAGGGCAGGGTGCTGACGTACAGCAGGTCTGCCAGCCCCAGGTTGCCCACCAGCAGGCTGAGGGGCTGGCGGGCGCCCTGCCGGTGCCCCGTGCAGAAGTGCCACAGCCCCAACCCGTTCCCCAGCAGCCCCAGAGGGATCACTGTCAGGTACACGGCGGGCAGGAAGCGCTGGGCGAAGGCGGCATCCACAGGGCACAGAGCCCCGCTGCCATTGCCGGGCCACATGGCAGCAGCCATGGGGAGCTGCGGCAGCCCTGCCCGGCGGGGCAGGCGGTGGCAGGGCTCGGAGGAGCCGGTGCCCACAGCAGGGTTGGCTCCAGCAGCGCCGTGCCCAGAGCCAGCCCTGGCAGCGCCGTGTCCTCTGGCACAGGCTGCGGCTGCCCTCACCTCCCCGCTCCTGCTGAACCCGGACTGGCCTTTGGGGTGCTGGGCTTTTCCCCAGAGCATGGGGAGGATGTGGTGAGGGCGGCCCCAGCACAGAGCCGGGGTGACTGGTGGCTTCCGCCACTCCTTCGGCGCCTCCCACCAGCCCACTTCAGATATTTTGAGCCGGGCGCCAGGGACATCACAGCCCCTTGGCTATTTTGGGTGCTGTGTGTGCCTGAAGGGAGTGGGAAATAGGGAAGAGGTGGGAGAGGGGCTCTGCTGCGGAGATGTCTGATGAGGGGGGCCAAGGCTTTCAGCCTGTTCCTTTTCTGTCCCACTTGGGGTGAAGAGAAATGTCCCAGTTTTGCAGACTGGGGGGCTGGAAGCCTGCCCTCACTTCCATTCCTGACAGCCTTTCTCCTGGCCCCAATGCTCAGAAATACCAGCAGCAGAGTTAAGGCAGAGACTGGCAGCATTCCACGGGGCTCATGCTGCCAGTCCCGCTCGGGCAGAGCCGGTGGCACCGGCAGTGCCAGCAGGCAGAGGTGTGGCAGGCTGCCTGCCCCCAGCATAGGCAGCAGTGACCCCATGCCTGCTGAAGAGCTGTCTCCGCACTACAGCTCGTCCTGCTGCCTATTTCTATATCCCTCCCCAAACACAAACCCCCTTTTCCCCCTCCTCCTTCGAGTGGTTTAGACCCATGCGGGGAGGACATGCAGGATGGGCTGTGACCTTCCTCTCCTGCCTTCCCTGTTGCAGGGGATGTCACACAGAAGACACCCAGATACTGTGAAATTGGGGTAAGAGCTAAAACCAGCGACCCCAAAGCAGACCCCAAGGAAAGGCAGCCTCAACTGCACTGCTGAGCAGCTGCTGCATAAATGGGGCCAGAAATAACTTTATCTCCAAGCATGGGAATCGACAGGGCAGTAACCAGCTGGGTTTACCCTGGCAAGCCATGCAAAAACAACCTTGGGAAAACAACTTCAGGTGAAAAGGGCTGGGCCCAGGAAGGGCGACGTCCACCTGCTTTCCGGGAGCTGGATCAAAGCAGGGGGTGGGAGGAGGCTGAGAGCTCAACTGCCAGTGGGGAGGAGGAGGGTGGGTCCTGCCGAGCCATCCTGGCTGCCTGTCCCTCCTTGGGAGCAGCTGAACATCTCCACTGGGCCATCCTTGGGCACAGGAGTTCAGGAACAGGGTGGGGAAGCCCAAGACACAGATGAGGGGTGGTAGCTGCTCTCTGCGAGTATCAGTGTATTTATCAACTTCAAAAAAGTGCTTGCTGGAGCAGATAAGTGATGGGAAATGCTGTCTGTTATTTCCTGCCTTTGTAATAGAATCTCAGCGCTACAGGCATGATGGAGTGGCAGATTGTAGAAGCTGTTTCCATGGGGTGAGGATACACCTTTTCCGAGGTTTGCAGAGCCTCTGGTAGGTCTGTGCTCTTGGAGTGGCAGCAGCACAGAAGAGGGTCCCTGGGGGTGCATCCCCAGGGAAGCAGTTCTCCATCCTGCCCAGCTCCCACCCCCTTCACCTCAGTGCACTTCAGCTGCTCCTGCAACCTGGGCTTGGGGTGGCACTTGTAAAGCAGCTTTATGGAAGTGTGGAAGGGCAGCACGAGGAGAGGAACAGACTGGGAGTGGTTCCCTTTGTCCCAGAGTATCAACCACTGGGGAAACTGAGGCGGAGACAGCAGCTGGCTGGGAGGACTGCTGAGATCATGGGAAGGGTGGTGAGCTGCTCTCAGCAGTGAAGGCAAAACCTGCCCTGTCCCCACAATGAAGGCTTGGAGCTGGGTGCCTGTTCACTTGGCCCGTGGTTTCACTTGCAATGCAGGTGCTACTTCCAGCTCTGCCCAAGCACCCCACATCAGGATGCTCCCCTCCTGTGCCTGGCTCTGGTATGTGGCAGTGTTGCTGCTGGCAGGGTGAAAATTCAGGGCCCAGACAGCTCCTGCAAACAGATAACTTGAGTGATGGGCTCCCAGGAAAATTGAAAAAAAGGCTCATTTTTTTTAATTGAGCACTGCACTCTTGTGCTCAGTTTCTGAAAATGTTTTGCTTTAATGAGGGGCTCATCCAGCCCTTTCTCAGCCTTCCCCATGCATTTAAAAATCATCAGTCATGAGAATGACTTGGAAAAGAAATTCTGATGCATGTTGTTTGCTCATGTGGTAGCACAGTTTCCCTTCAGCTGCTGCATGTGCTTGTGCCGAAATGAGCCGTGATCTGCTGCTCACCACTGGCTCGGGAGTGTGGTTGGCAAATCTGTGCTGTGTCTGTGTGCAGGTGTGCCCTTAGGCCTTAAGGATAAGGGTGATTTTTTCTTCTGATTTTGGGATTTTTATCTTTGCAGGTCACCAAAATCACCTGTGGATCCCCCACCCGAGCAGGCAACGACAGGACCCTGCGTCAGAGACTGTCATAAACGTGAGCCTCAAATAGCTGTGTTTCCAGGGTAGCAGGGCTTTAGAGGGAATGGCAAATATTGTGAGACTGGCAATCAGATTGCAAGAGTTGCTTTCCCTGTGTTCTTAGGGAAAAATAACTCTGATTTTTTTGGAATCATTAATTCATTATTTAGATGTTTTCTGCTTAGTGAATCGGGGAGAAGTGATATTTTGCAAGGGAAAAAAAAGAGGAAATTATAGCAGAGGTGCACTGAGTCATTTGTTTGAGATGACAATTACAGATTGATTCTTAAAAAGTGACCTTTTGATTTTGACCATCACCCAGAGGTGGCTGGGCAGGATCTGGGAGGGGGTTACAGCCTTGGCAGCCCTCCCTGCCTACAGCTCACCCAGCCTTGGTGGCCGAGTCCCAACAAGTTCAAACAAGAACTGGCTTAGAAACAGGATTTTCAGTACACACAACGTTTTATCCATGTCAGTCGAGGAACATGGTAGTTTTAAAGTCTACATGAGCCTTGTGTCATCACTTTTTTGGCAGAGCCACCACAGAACTAAAAAAGCCACCCAAAGCTGTTTGCTCTGCGATTTGCTGCCTGATGGAGGTTCACCATATCCCCTGTATCAAACAGAATTAATGATTTGGATTCAGGCCGAGCACCAGATGATCACAGTAAATAATTCTCTTTGTAAGCAATGTTTTATTGCACAAGCAGTGAGGTTTCTTCTTGTTTCTTTCCTCCCCCCTCACCTCCCAAAGTGACTGAAAGGCATTCTTGACTTCACTTTTATTTTCAGCCCTTGCAGAGCCCAGGGGAGTGAGTGAGCAGCTGCCTTGGCCCTGCTGCCTTTCCTGCTGCTGGTGAGGAAGCTTTTCCCTGGGCTGGAGAGGAGATCTCCCTCTGCCATTCAGCCTTTTGCCCCTGCACCTCCAAATCTGCCGCAGTACCAGTTGCCCTGGGTCGGGAGGAGGGTCAGCTGGTGGCACTGGTGGCACTGCTGGGGGAATCCCAGTCTGGGGGGAGCAGAGGAGGGCCTGGCAGGAGGGGGGAACGAGTCACAGGGGGGTTTGGGCACTGATTTTTAGGAGGGTGAGGAGAGGCATGGCCTGGGCTGTGCCTGGGGCTGCAGACCCAGCAGCAGAGCAGCCAGTGCTGTCCTGCACATCCCGACACTGCCCGGAGACCTGGCCAGGGCTGTGGGCAGGGCTGTGGGCAGGGCTGTGGGCAGGGCTGTGGGCAGGGCTGCTCCCGTTGGCAGAGCTGGTGGAGCTGATGGCTGGGTAAAAGCAAAGGGTCATGACTGAATCCAGGATATGATATACTCTAATAATGTGTTCAGTGCTTTGATTCACAATGTTTTTTTCCTTTTTCTTTTCTTTTCATACTCTAAGCAGCCTGAATTGCGGTGCTTCCAGGCTGCCCCATCCTGTGCCACTTTCCAGCTGGCCGCGAGCAGCAGGGCTGGGCTCACCCTGCACCAGACAAGCTCCACACCTCGATCAGCACACCTTTATTTTTAGTTCCAGAAATACACGTCTAAAAAGTCCGTATCTCACCTGGACGTGTCACCTGCACCACTGCTCCTTGCAGCTGCCCCTGTCTCCCTGCGGTGGGACGTTCCCTCTGCACGCTGGTGCGAGGCCGTTAGAGGGCATTTGGGTTTCATTTTCGGTCGCCCACAAGGGTTACTGCCGAGGGAAAGCACAGCCAGAACCGCCGAGCAGCTCTCCTGTGCAGCTGGAGCGGCTCCAGCCCGTCGGGAGGCGGCTCCGACTCATCTTTGCGATTTTGTTTTCTCTTTCTCCTGCTTTTCCTTTGGCCCGGGCTCACAGGGAATGTGCTTGGATGGCAGGCGGTATGTCTGGTGCCGCGGGACGGTGTCTCCGTCTGAGCTCCTCGCTCGCCGCAGCTCTGCCAAACCGCCAGCGCCTGGGAGAGGAGGAGGCCAGGAGGAGCGGGAAGGCTCGTGTTTGTTCTGGAGGGATGCGGGGAAGGTGAATTAGAGCTGTCAGCAGGAGGACCCTGCCCATGCCCAGGGAGGAGCCGCTGTTTGCAGGGTGGGTATCGTGGGCTGGCCGAGCTCCCGCACGGTGGGGCAGCTCAGCCTGGCACGGCAGTGACTTGTGGGTGCAGCCTGATGTACCTGCTCCCTCCCTGGGGGGCCAGGGCATGAGGGTTCCCTCCAGGGATTTGGGCTTCCAGGTGCTGGAGATGGCCTCTATTGCAGTCCACACAGAGCAGAGCTGTGTGATGTGGTGGAGGAGCAGCATCACCTCTCCAGAAGCTCCACTGATCCAGGAAAGGACCGATTCCTGGCTTCTTGGGTGGGTTCATGCTTGGGGCAGGGTTTCCCCATTTCCCATTTCATTCAGCCTAAGAAACTCGGGAATGCTGCCCACTAATCCTGCCTGGGGCAGCAGGGTGCACAGAGGAGGCAGGTTCTAAGTGAGAGGGGGATCTTCTTCTCTATTTCCAGCCTCCTTTGCAGCCAAAGTCCATCAGTTCTTCTCTAGTTTCTCAATGGAAACTTCTCTAGTTTCTCCATCTTCACCAAAACCACAATGCCATAGGTTTGTGCCAGACTCTTTGCCAGGATGAGGCGTTGGCTCCGGGGTGAAACCAGGGTGGGCACAGCTACAAATGACCTCCTCTTCCCCTCTGGAAAGGCACAGTGGAGAATGATGGGGAGATAGAGCAGGATGTGGCGTGTTCTCTCTGTCTGGGGAGCAGGGGCATGTGGCAGCAAGGCTGTGTTACACCATGTTCACACTGGGGCTGTGCCAGGCTAATAAAGGGGTGGCAGAACCACTTCTTGGGTGTGCCCAGGGAGCCAGGCAGGAGCTGCAAACACATCTCTGGCCATAGGGGCCGGCCAGGCTCCCCTGTGTGGGTTCCAGAGTGCTCCTGGATTCAGACATCCAGAGACGCCAAAATTCAGGTCTGCACCTGCCATCAGGTGTTTTCCAAGCTGAGTTTCAGGAGATGGTTGATCTGTCCCCGAGACACTCTCAGCTCAAGGCTGAGGAGGGGTGATGGGGTGCCCGCACTTAAGTGGGGGTCTCGTGTTTTCGTGTTTGGCTGGCTCTGCTCTTCCCTTTGTCTGTCAAACCCGTTGCCCAGAGGCACCAGCTCCACCCTCACTTACCGCCGGGAATGCTGCGGGCAGGGCGGGGCAGGGTCTGACCACGCAGAGCCGCCTCTGGGTCTCCAGCCGGCAGTAGCGGTTCTGGTTGGAGACGCGGGTGGCAAAGCCCACGCCACAGGTGGCCGAGCAGGCGCTCCACTCTGTGCCCCACTCCTGGCAGGGGTATGGCAGCACTGGGGACACTGCCCCGGGGGCTGAAAGAAAAGAGAGGAGGGGATAAAGGGTGGTTGGAGCCAGGCTCTGTGCAGATGCCCTGCGGTGCTGCGGGCAGAGCCCCGCGTGGCAGAGGAATGTGAGGTGATGTTTCAGAGCCTGGGGTGAAGGGGCCATCCCCAGAGACCTGCCCGGGCATCCCCTCCCTGGAGGTGCCCTGCATCTTACCTGCCCTGGCATCCCGGAGGAGGTGCTGGTCCTGGGCTCCACAGATCCACTCGGGGCAGCACTTCCCCGGGATCTCCACGCGCCGTGGGTAGGGGCAGTCCGGGGTGGGCAGCCTCACGTCCTCCTGGCACAGCGGGATGCAGGTGAAGCCCCCGTCCAGGCAGCGACACTGGAGTTTGCAGCTGGGCTGGAAAACTTCTCCATCTCGATAGACCCGGCCGTTCACCTCACAGCCCTCCTCGTCATCCTCGACTGAAGTGACAGACGGGGAGCCCGTCAGGGACAGAGCGACAGAGATGTGAGTGGCAGAGGGACTGCTGGGGTAACTGTGGGGCTGGCACGAAGGGACTGATGGGGGGGGGGGCACACAGAAGTGACTGAGAGGTATGTGGGGCAGAATGGGTGTGCAGCAGCATGTTCATCACCAAACCTCCTCCCCTTCCCTACCTCCCCTCCTCATCTCTGTGTTTTCAAAGGAACAGCTCACTAGCTGGTGGGAAACCCCCTGCCCTTTGGCTCTGACCCTGCCTTCAGGGTTTTCAGGCTAGACAAAATTTCTCTGAGATTTCTCTTCAGGACTCCCAGGCTCCAACCCTGGCTGGGTGACTGCAGCATCCCTGGGACCCCCATGCCCATCCTCACTCAAACCACCCCGAATCCTCAGTCAGAAAACAGCACAAGAGCTGGCAGCAGCTGCAGCACAACCCCATGGCCAAGCTGTGTGTAAGTTCCTCAGAAAAGGCTGCTTTTCTAGTCTCAGCCACTTCCCTGAAAGTGCTGTGGGACGCCTGCAGCCAGCTGAGGCCATGGGTGGAACTGGGGTGTGGGGGCATCCCCGGCGGGAAGGGGCTCCCCTGTGCTCACAGTTGCAGGTGCCTCCTGTCCCGGCCGGTGCTGTGCTGTAGTCACAGACGAGGCCCTGGCTCTGGTCGCAGACGTGGAGGAAGTCACAGGGCTCCCCCAGGCGCCGGGCACAGATCTTGCAGCAGCCACAGCCATCCAGAACCAGGGGGGACCCGCGGGGGCAGCGGGGTGGCACCCAGGGGCAGTAGCATGGTCTCCGGCACAGCTGGGCACACACCTGCGGGGCAAAGGCATTGCTGATTCCATAGGGGTTGGTTTTGACTGACAGGGAAATCACTGGGACAGACAGGTAACCTCTCAATCACGAGGGCAGATTTTCAGTGGAGGGAGGCTCTGCAAATCCATGGAATATGGTGAAGCAGCATGGAAAGCTACTGTCCTCTTTCTTAAGGGCACCTATGGAAAACCAAGGAGAATCAAGGATTCTCAGCACTCTGCAAGATTGGGTCTTAAAAGTACCACTGCTCTGAATACACAGGAGGAGGATGGAGCTGAAAGGTGAAGATCCTGTGCAGTGGTGGTTATTTAATGAGCTCAGCAGCCACAAGCAGCCCAGTGTGAGGGAGGGAAAGCAGCTCACCCCATGGCTGCCCCTAAGGCAGTGGCTGTGCCCAGCTGGAGACGGGGCTTTGCAGGGACTGGATGCACGTGAGGAGGGCTCAGCACCACTCCAAACAGTCTAAACAGCTCTCCTTCATGCTGAGAAACAGGATGTCACACTGGCAGCAGGGATCTGATGCCAGGCGGACATCACTGTGTTCCTCCCTGATCCAGCTGCAGCCTCTGCCTGTCCCTGGCTGCAGGATCCTCACCCAGCCTGGCCCACTGGGCGAGGAGCCCAGAGATAGGCACGTTTCTGTGGACTGGGAGCTATGTTTTCCCTCCTGGCTAGACTGAGTAATCACTTTGGCAGGACTGTGCACTGCAGTCCTTTGCCTGCTCAGCCAGTTGTCTGCCAGGGATGTGCCCACAGGAGTTCACCTGGGCAGGGGGGTGTTTGTCCCGTTGGCTCATCCTGCGTGCACAACCACCCTGGCACACCTTGCTTTTGCAGGCAGTGCTTGTGCTCCAAACGTGTCATATCCAACAGGGCTGTTGCATACTGAGCCTGAAGCCAGGAGAGCTGGCTCTGCAGTTTGGAAGTGAATTCCTTGCCAGTCCTGGCCTGGCAGTGTGTGTGAGCCCCCTGGCAGCTCCAAGCCCCCCAGCAGCCCTGCTGCTCAGCACCATGCACGTGATGCTGGATGCAGGGCCAGCACATGCAGTGCAGCAAACATGCAACCAAACCATTCACCCCTGCCCTGGTCCGGGTGTGTCTGCTGAGCCTGCTGAGAGAGCGATGGGTTCAGCCACACCCTGTGGGGTTTAGATACCATTTTCCTTTCTTTTTCAGTTTCTCCCAGTGACATCAGGTCTGACATGACCAGTCAGACAGAGGAGGTAGGTACTGGTGTGCTGTTTCCCATTTGCAGCCGTTCAGCTGTTTTTTATGGGGCTGTAGAAGTGTCAGTGCCAGCAAGTGGAGATTAAATATATCCAAAATGGGCTGGGTCTTGTTCTAGTTCTGTCAATGAGCAGCATTATTAATGTGGCAGAAATCAGAGAGAGACTTGTGGCAGGGACCAAGGGACTGTCTGTGGTGGCCAGGTTTGGGCTGGCAGCACAAGGGCCTTTGGTGATTCTCACAAGCACCTGGGGCCAGAATAATTTCTCTGTCACAGCTTACCCAGGCAGCCAAAGGCATTTTTCATCTTTCAGGAGGTTGCTATTACAAATCGATGTTTTAGAAAGATTAGCCAAGCCATTAATGCATTTCCCTCTGCTCCTTGTAATTTACTTGTCTTTAGATGACAATGTGGCTCCTATCAGAGATCTGAACTTTCTGGGAAAGGAGTCAAATAGGCACACTGTTGCCACGACATCCCTGCTCGCAGAAGGTCTGCCTGGGGATTCAAGCAGCAGCTCTGATTAACTTGGAGCTGAGATGCCCTGAACTTTTCAACATTCCTGTTCTCTGCACAGGCAAATATTTTCACACAGAGTCCAAGAGAAAGAAAAAAATAATAAACCCACTACGACAACCCAAATCCTGTCAGAGGCATTGGCTTGGCGTGAGCATCCTGAGAAGCAGGGAAAGCTGAGTAATGCCAGGGCTGCTTGGCCCCTGCCTCGGGAGCCTGGGCGGGGATGGAGGAGCCTGCAGGAGCCACTACTGCCGAGCTGCTGCTCGCTGACTGAACGTAGCACAGCCCAGAGAGCGGCAGGGACAGCGAGCAAACAGCACATTGCTGTCATTCCTGTGTGCTCCAGGGACTCACACAGCAGAGCCTTTGGCCCATGAACGTTCACACCCTGCTGCTGAATCTCAAATATCTCTCCCAAGCAGAGCTGTGCCCCCGTGGGACTGCATCCACACAGCCTGGCCGGCGTTAGCCAGCGGGCTCGTGGTGACACCCCAGTCCTCCCTGCAAGACCCAGGTGCTCCACGGGTAAGGCTAAAGCTGCCCCGGTGCCCCGTCTCCCTTACCTTGGAGAGGATGCAGAGGAGGGAGAGGAAGAGGAGCTGCTTCTCCAGCTGGAGCCTCATGCTGCTCTCCCCTCTGCCACTTCAGCACATCACCCCCCAGGCAGTTTGGAGGCAGCGGCGTGTTCGCAGGTTTTAAAGCCCGGAGTAGGTCCTGCTGGTGTTTATACTCTCCCTGCTCTGATGTCACTCACAGGCTCCAATATAAACATGAATAGGTTTGGACAAGCCTCAAGATTTCCTTTTTTTTTTTTTCCCTTTCTTTTTCTTTCCAGCCCACATTCCAGCTGCCATTTCCACTCTCCTCAAGGTGAGAATGTGCTTCCATCGAGACAGTGAGCGAAGGGAAGGGACACTGTGCTGTCCCTGGGGAGCAGGGCAGAGGGGCTGGGGAACCAGGCTGGTGGGGTGATCCAGCTCCTTGCTGCTAGCCATGACTGGGAGGGAAGATTCATGCCTCGTCCTAATACTGATCAAGGTCTGCCCAAGCAGAGCCAGAATCTTCCTCCTGGGATTTGGAGGGATTGACAGGGTTGTCCCCACTGCTGCCCTCAGACAATGCCATGGCCATGCAGGAGCAGGGCACCCACCCCTATGTTTTGTGCTGAACTCTGTGCATGGCAGGCTGTGGGAGAGGGGTGAGTTGACCAAAAGAGCTGGAAAGGGATTTGCTGTGGTGGTTGTGATGTGCTGCCACATCATCCCTGTCCTCAGTGGGGCTGCAGCCACCTAGGAAGGCTGCTGGGTGGGAGGGTTGGATGTACATTGTGTTGCATTGTCCTGGGTATGTGATGCAGGGAAAGCTTCAGTCTGGCTCTGCTGATTTCAAGCCTTGTAAATCCAAATTCAGCCCCTGAAGTATTATGGTCATCTTAAGCAGTTGTGAGAATTAAAAATCCAAGTTTGGGGAAAAGAAGCAGGTGCTCAGTTGTCTCCCAATGCTTTCTCAGTCTGCCCTGTGCAAGTTTTTCTCTTGGCTGCTGTGTCTGGGGACACGAGGCTGGCTCTTAGGAAAGAAAAAAACTAAGCATTTCAAGACCTCCAGGAAACAGAGCCCCTTCTCCATGTTTTCATTCCCCAGATCTTATCATGAGATATAAGTGGGGACTCAAAGCTCAGAGGAAAGGTCTGAGTGTAAGGATGCAGGATGCCCTGCAGCTCTCCCTGGCTCCTCTCCTGCACCCCTGCCCCTTTCCTGCAGGATGTGTTCTGGGGCTGGGAATGCTGCTTCTGCCCTGGCCCAGGGATGGATCCTGGTGGCTGTGTACAGACTTTCCATGTCATTCAGGCATGATGAGCTCTGCTGCTAAATACCAGATACTACATGTTGGCAAACACACAGGAGGGGCTGAGTGCCGTACGAGCAGAGCACCCAAAGTCACACAACTAGGAATCACACCCCATCCCTCCCTCCAGCCTCTTTTCCCTTCCTGTTGCTTTTGTGAAACAGGTTCTCAGTCACCTGAGCAGCAATCCCGACCTCAGCTCTGCACTTGCCAGACCCTGGAAGCCCGGGCATGGAGCAGGGAGGGCAGAGCCTGGCAGGGAGGAGCACAGACAGAGCTCTCCCATTACCACCCCAATTCCCTGCTTTGGTTTTGCTTCGTTAGCTGCAGTCAGGCTGTTAACGAGCTCATGGTAGCCTGAGGGAACACCAAGCCTTCCAAAGGCTGCTGTCACTTATCCCAGCGCTGGAGCCTCCACACGTTGGAGCCCCAGTTCCCTGCATCACCTCCATGCCCGGAGGTCTGACCTGCACTGGCAGCCCTGCCTGTGGCAGAGGAGGCACGAGGATGGCACTTCACTCTGAACTCACTAGCAGGGGGGTCAGTCCCCACTGACAGGTGCTTACAGCCCCACAGATTTGATACTGAAGGCTGGATCTCATCTCGTTGTTTCTCATCTTTCTGTTCCAGGGCTGGTGCCCTCCTGCTGCTGTGGCTCAGACAGACATCCCTGGGTGGCCCAGGAGCAGCCAGAGCACTGAGCCAGCCTTGCTACAGAGGGACAGGCAGCTCAGGTAATTATTCCAGGCTTGTGTTTATTAGGGACTCCTGATTAATGGGCAGGAGTTCATTTCCCAGTTAGAAATCAGGTGACAGTGCTGGTGACAGAAATAAAAACCTCTCGTTGCCCACAGTGAATGACTCTGTGAGCAGCCAACAGAGCCCTGTGTGAGGTCTCAGGGGGCAGCAGGGCACCCCTGGGGGAGGTTGAGGCTCGGGGCTGCCCAGGGGAACCCACTGGTGACTACAACCCTGACACCCGATGTATCCTGGGTGCAGGTTTAGCTCCTTGGGGTGGGGATCCCTTCTCCACCTTCTCCCTCAGCTCTGGACAAGAGGGGACATTGCTTCCCCCCCACACCTGATGTCACTGAGGTTTAGATGCAGCAAGGTGACATCTCTGCGATGCTGTGACATCACCAGGAAGCTGTCAGAGCTCAGGCAGTGACAGAGAGCCCGAGTCAAGCCTGAGTCAAGTCAGAATCAAGCAGCCAGATGGGGCCAAACCCACCATCCCGTGCCTGGCCAGCTGCCCACACTTCCAATGGCATTGGCAATCCTTGGTGGTACCTTGCTGGGTTTTGGAGGTGCCCAGTGGAGCCAGCTGGAGGGGTATCCACAAAGTCTACCATGATCTGCCTTCCCAAAGAAGCTTTTCCATGGGTGACATGGGCTTGAGTGTCCCTGCTCCGGTCTCTCTGTGTCCCACGTGCCCGCCCAGGTCACTGTGCTGGTGCTGCAGGCAGAGCCTGGCACAGGAATACAGTCCCTGCTCAGGTTTTGATTTGCAAAGCTGCACCAGAACAGCACATTAGCAGTCCATGTTATAAATACCCTCTGGAGCACATGCTCCATATGTGTTCTGTACCATACGTGTGATTTCAGAGCTGGTAATTAAGTCCATATGTTTTGCTCCACAGTTTCCATGGTATTATTGTCAGGTTTTGGGGGGGATTGTAATTTTATTTTTTTTTTTTTTGTGGTCAGTTGTGCAAGAAAATAATTGATACAGGGATCTGAATACATCTCCTTTGAGTTAGCCACTGACAAGCTCTGCTGTTTCTATAGAAATGAAGGAACTGCCCCAGCGAATTTACATTTTAGAGAGCTGAGTTTTTTCATGTGTTTGCCATTTAACATGCCATCATGAATAACATGGCAAAGCTCTCATTTTGCACACCTTGCTCAGCTGAAACTGCATCCATCTGGGATGGGTATCCCAGACCATATTCTTGTTCCACCCCCTTCCTTTGCTCGAGGCTCCTCTTCTTTACTTTACTTCGTGTGTGGAGCCCCCTCCCTAGAGCTGTCTGAACTCAGACTGCTGTCTGCATGTCCATCTCTGGCAGGGAGCATTGGGGCTCTCCTGGGTCCTGGCTGGGTCTGTTTGCCCTCACATCAACAGTGAAATCATGGGTCTGGGGTGAGCCCAGCTCCATACCTTGGTGGGGAGGACATTTCCTTTGCTTCTGGGCACTTCTGCCTCAACTCCCCACTGCAGAGGAGCAGGGCTGTCCGTGGAGCATGGACATCACCGGTGGCAAAGCTGGGCAGACATCCAGCTTGGCAAAGCCAAGAGCCCTGAGCTGAAAAGGAGGTGCCTCAGGTCTCCCTCGGCTGTCGGACACTTTAGGGTGGCTGCTGGATGTTTTTCATGAGACTTCTGGAAACACCATGGCTTTGGGAAATTTTGAAATATCTCTGCTTTTGGCAGGATGGGAAGGTTGTTTCCTACCCAGAATGAATCTGGCTCCAGTTTCAAACAGCAAGAGCCGAGAGAGGTGGTGATGGCTATTTCCAACTCTGTCTGGGCATTTTTATTCCCTCTGGTTCTCACACCTTGACTGGACAGCAGAGCCAGGCTGGAAGGACCAGCCACCCTGAGGGACAAGGGACAGGCCAGGCAGTCTTTTACCTTGAGGTCACTGCTCCCACCCCAGAGCCGGGATGGAGAGACTGAAAGTATTTACCATCTGGTGCCTGTCCAAGTGACTTGCAAGAAAAGAATTCAGGGCTGCTGTCCAGTTTCTGATGGCCAGGCAACTGCACCAGAAACCTCAGCTTCATCTGGGACCAGCTGACCCCTCCGAGCTCCCAGCCACGGTGGCCAGGCCAGCGAGGCAGGAGCTGGGCATTGCCCTGGCCAAAGGAGAAAGGGGAATGGTGCCTGGTGCTGGGAGCACTTAATTCTGCACCATTCCCCAGGCGTTTTTAAGTGGGTTTCATTAGAAAGAAATGCTGACAAATGGGACTTGGGGCTGGTTCTGGTCTCGAAGTCTGACGTTGCCAAGAGGCAGGAGCTGAGCGATGACATGCGGAGCAAATGGAGCATCACAACAAAGGAAAGGCTTGACTTGGCCAAAACTACAGAGAGAGCTCATCCTTCAGACTGAGGGGCTTCTCATTAGCACAGCCCAGCCTTGCACCAGCTGTTGTGAAAGGACAACACTTTTACTTAAGAGGCATATTAAACCCATCAAACCCTGGGCAGTACTTCTGTGGGATTTTTTTTTTCCCTGTAGTCCAGACAAGAGCAATTCATAACTGTCCCCCTAAGTTAAACATTCAGATAACTCAAAGAATAAGACTTTTGTAAAACAAAGCATGGAAACTTCAGCCAGATGAGGTTTTCCATTATTATTTGGAAAACAGTGTCAGAAATCATCATGTATCAAACATTAGGATCCTCTGGGAGTTTATTTTTGGTATCAGACATCATCAAACATAAACTCCTTTTAAAAAATCTCACTAGAAGTTTTATCTTTCAGACAAGATATAATCCCCACATCCTGACCTTGTGTGGTTAGTGAAAGACCCTTGGTATTTTTCATGGACCTACACAGCTAACTCATGTTTCCTGATCAAATGGCTCATTCTTTTTGACTATCTCTGTTTTTCTTGTGGTTTCAGGCTAAAACAGACAATGTTTTCCCTTCTTGTCTTGCTCAAGGGTGCTGTGTGTTCTCAAGAACCTGCCATGTCCTTTGCAGCACCGAAGAAGCTGCAAATTGAGGCACACACTGAGGTACAGCCAGTGATGGTTTTAGGTCTCTCCAAACTCACTTTGTCGCTGTGCCAGCTCTGCTTTAGAAGGGGGGATGTTCGGTGAT